ATACTACTGTCTATATATTAATTATAAAGAATAATAATAATAATAATAATCAAAACCTGAGAGACATAAATATATTTATATATATATATATATATATAAACTTATTATTGTTATTAAAATACAGTATATATTCAAATATATTATTCATATTATTGTTATTATCATTAAAACTTAGTATTCATTAATTTTACTTTTGAAGTGAGTTTATGTTTTCAATTTATTTATAWTTTTTTATATATATAATATATAATAAATATATCCACTATTTTTATATATTTGTTTTAATAATTTGTTATTTCTTATTATTAAATATAATTGTGTGTTGTTTTCATATTTTTAATGACTATTTTTTTATTATTATTATTATGATTATTATTATTATTATTATTTAATAGTTGTTATTGTTATTCATAAAAATTATGTATTGATTTTTGTTTTATTTTTCTGACGGAGATATATATATATATATATATATACAGTATATATATATATAATATATTAGTGTGAACTCAGTTATGGTGATACAGGTGTTTCAATTGAGAGGGAAACAGGAGATAGAGAAATAAAGTGAATATTATAACATACACTATGATTGTCAATGTTATGAATATTTTAACAGAGARAGAGAGAGAGAGAGAGAGAGAGAGAGAGAGAGAGAGAGAGAGAGCCTTATAGTTAGTCCCCATTGTATTTGTTATAAATTATAGATAGTTTATATATACAGTATAGCAAAAAAAAAATTATAGCAAAAATTCAATACTCAATACTCATATCCTGATTATTGATTGCAATTGTAGGGGTTTTTCGCGTTAACGGCAAGTGTTTGCTATTATTATTATTATTATTATCATTAGTATTAGTATTATTATTATTATTATAATTGTGTTGTTAGTAGTATTGGATAATACATGTAGTAGTGATAGCAGTAGTAGTAGTAGTAGTTGTTGTAGTATTTGGTGTAGAAAATAGAGATGAGATGTAAAGTGTACTTCAATTTCCGAAAAACGTGATTAAAGAGATGTTTTTACAATTGAAAATACACGACAACTATATATATATATGACTAGAAATATATATATATATATATATATATTTCTAACATTTAAAATACCGTACTGTAGTAGACCTAACATTTAGATTTAACATATAATACAAATTTATTATAAGGGGTATAAATAGGATGAGTGTATGTATATGTATGTATGTATGCACTGTATGTATGTGTGTCTCAACACAATCTATGAATTTTTATGCTAACAAAACTGATAGATAATTATTCACTGACAGATAGATAGAGATAGAGAGATGCCTACTCACTATGTGGGTGTGTGTGTGTGTGTGCACTGGTATGTTAGGCAAGAGAGAGAGAGAGAGAGAGAGAGAGAGAGACCAACAAAAATTTTTAGGGGATAATATGTGAAGTACGTGAATGAGAGACTGTAGGCCTAATCAGTTGTGCAAACTGTACTGTCGTTTCTTTACTATCATCTCWWACTATCGCAATGTTTGTCTGCCCTCAGATCACAAGTGATCATAAGGATGAAAGAGAGAGAGAGAGAGAGAGAGAGAGAGAGAGAGAGAGAGAGAGTTAGCACTAACAAGATATCACTGGAAGCACTGGTAGATCTCTTCCTCCTCCTCATCCTCTCTCTCTCTCTCTCTCTCTCTCTCTCTCTCTCTCTCTCTCTCTCTCTCTCTCTCTCTCTCTCTCTCTCTATCATCTCTATCGCCTTAAATCTTCTACTTTGTTAGCGATGTTGTTGTTACACATAAATGACTACTGATTTTTATATATAAAATTTATACTAAAAAAATAATATATATATATATATATATATATTCAGTATTTCTCTCTCTCTCTCTCTCTCTCTCTCTGTTTGTTAAAACAGGTCTAATATTATTATTGACAGAAAGAGAGAGAGAGAGAGAGAGAGAGAGAGAGAGAGAGAGAGAGAGATACAGAAAATATAYAGACAAATAAACAAAAATAAATAATAAAAAATAACTAAAAAATAATAACTAAAACAAAGATTTTTATTAGATTTATATAGAAACCGATGATCAGCTTTCGGATTGACTTAAAAAAACAAAATTAGTTGACTCTTGACTTTTAGATCTAATTTATAGGACTTTTCAATATCAATATGTGTTTATATACATATGTATTGAAAAAATTAGATAATTAGCAATAATTTTTGTTGTAGTGATACATAAGCTTACAATAAGTACAGTATGTAATATGTGGGGAAAAATACAATAATTTTTTTTTGAAAATAATTTTTTTTATTAATAGTATTTATTTTTACACACAGAATATTCTTATATTATATTTAGTATTACATTATTAATATACTGTACACACGTATTGATATTTATATCAATAATTTATAATTTATAATATTTTTTTTGTAATAATATATATAWATATAACTTTTAYTAATTTATTCAAATGTATTACAGATGATTGCACATAATTGTTTGATATTTTTAATTTAATTTTAATTACAATTGATGTCCAACTGTTTGTTATCTGTAACTCATAATTAAATGTAAAACTCAGTTATTGCAAAACAAATAATAAAATAATATATATATTTAAATAAAAATTAAATGTCAAATATCAATAATCAAGATAAATTTTTTATTTAAAAATTAACACTAAAATAATAAACACATAATATATTTAATATGATTTGTTTGTATAAAACATTGAATAGTCTGTAATATATTTAAAAATCATCTAAAAAAACAAAAATCCCAATCATAACCAACAAAAAATATAGATAATAAAAACTATTAGTTTATTTTAATAGTTATCAAACAGATTGTAAATGAAATTAAAAATATTAATAATTTTATTTTTGATAATTTTTTTATCATTAATATAAGTTATTATTATTAATACAGTAATAACTTATATATATATAGTTAGTTATGTATTTTGACTGAAAATAATAATTTAGATATAAGTGTTTAAATAGTGATGATTCAATTCAATTTCAATATTATTGATATAAAAATAATTAGTTATATATATTCAATATATTTATATATATCAATCATCACTTAACTTATGATAATAATAATAGACAGTATATTATATTTCTATACAATAGATTGTTAATATATAATATTGAAAGTTATTTTTAATGTTATAAATAGTTTAACAAATTAATTTTTATTATTATTATTATTATGTTGTATTGCTAGATAAACATTATTATATGTGTGACTATGTACTTGATAGTGATAATACTAATCTAATACAATATACAATATAATATAAATAAAGATAAATAGATAGATAGATAGATAGAAAAAATAAATAAAATAAAACCCAATAAAAACAAACATTGAATGGTTCAGCAATAAAATTGGATGACATGATAGGGGCGGTCATATAGTTTTTATGCCATTCAAGTGTCCAAAAAAAAATAAAATAAATGTTTTAAATTAGATATTTATGGCCACCGAAAAACACTTCACCAAACAATATACAGTATATACTATTAATATATATATATATATATGTTATCATATAAACTATATGTTTTAGTTATCTATTTTTTTTATATCTATACCGCCATATAATAATAATGTTATATACAATATATATATATAAAATACAAAAAATCATTATAAAATACAATCTGAAAAAAATTAATTCATTACACATACAGTATATTTATAATTTTATAATTTAAAATTTTGTTATTTTATTTGGTTGTAATTTATTTTCTCTATACTATCACTTATTTTTACTTATTTTTTTTTTAGAAAATGATGAGCAAAAAAAATACAATTATTTTTTTCTCTCTCTCTCACAATAACACTATATAAGATCAGTTTAAAAAAATAAATTGTAAAATAAAATAAATATATTTATTATTATTATTATTTGAAAGATCAATGAAGAAAATGGGTGAAAATGACGGACCATTGCTTTTGACTAAAAAAAAAAAATAATAATAAAATAATAATACAAGTAATGGTTTGCGCATTGAATCCAATGTTATTTATTTTTTTTTGGTTTTATAAAAACAATTGCATCGCACAGTCAGATACAGTACATATATACATACTGTACATACAGATAGATAGACATAAAATCCTTAAAAAAAACTCTTCAACAACAACAAAAAAATGCTATTATTTTTGCTGTTACAGTAATTTTCAGTAAAATAAAACTACTATTACTACTACTACTCTTGTATTAGTCATGAGTGGCATACCGTTAGTGTGTGTGTGTGTGTGTGTTGTATTGGCATTGATTTTGTGGGATCTGATGATCATATGGCCCGAAGGAGCCGATGGATGGATAGATGGTTGGATGGAAAGGTTCGTTCATTAAATGCCAAAATGCCTTTGGGATTGATATACTAACTGTATGTACAGTATGTATGTATGTATGTGTCTGTATGTGACTGTATGTATGTATGTATTAACTGACGCAAAAGTAAAACTTCGTTAAGTTTAGAGCCAATCATATCATCCCTGTGTGTATGTGTTAGCATAGCTATACCATACCATACCATCACATCATCATCGGCACACACATGTAGTTTGAAAGAGAGAGAGAGAGAGAGAGAGAGAGAGAGAGAKGAGTTGAGATGAGAGAGACATGACTTGAAAACTTGAAAAACTTGAGGGAAATATATAATGAAATAAAAATTGATTTAAAAATGAAAATGTTATTTAATTTTTTTTTTGGTGGGCTAACAAAATCACACATACACTATACACACTAAATTTATACAGTATATAAAATTTTAATACTTTACTTTACTTATCATAACAATATTATTATTATTAGAGGGTTCAAATAATTATATGCATAATTTATTTCAACACACACACACACATATAATAATGTTAAACATTTTTTTCCTCTATCAATATCTATGCAAATTGATTTGAAACTTATTTTTTATTGACAATATTTTTTTTTTTAAATATTTTTTGCATACTATACATGTTTTTTTTTGTTATTAACTGTTTAGACTACTACTACTACATCTATAACAACAACTACTACTACACGTATTAACCACAGGCACTGTTGTATTGGCCAAACTGGGCATCGGTTTTGTGTCGGTGTCGTCGGGTAAATGACAACAACAGATACTACAAACCAATGGATTCAGGTATAGACTTATATATATATATATATATATATATATTCAGTATATATATACAATAATACAGTATTATAATATATATATATACTGTATATATATATCGATAAGCACTGGTAGACTCTATGAATACACTCGAGGGATGTCACATGAATTTGCTAAACAAACAGATATTTATATTTATATATATATATATATTATATGTCTTGTTGTGTAAGAAAATTTTATGGCTACCGATTCTCATTAAACTCAATGGGCTAAACAAGAGAGAGAGAGAGAGAGAGAGAGAGAGAGAGAGAGAGAGAGAGAGAGAGAGAGAGAGAGAGAGAGAGAGAGAGAGAAATAGCGACCGTTATCTTATGAAATGTTAGGTCCGCTGAGACATGTCGTGTACAGTACTGTATGTATGTATGTCTGTGTGACTACTATTTCTCTCTTTCTCTCTCTCTCTCTCTCTCAATGGTCTATACAGTTGTTTTAGTCATTGCACTCCCAAACAACCCATAAAACAATATGTGTTAAACATAATTATGTGAATCACACACACATATACAGTACAGTAGTATATATCAGTCATTGATGTGTTGTGATGTGATATCCAGTGATATACTGTAAAAACAGTATAATATATATATAACAAACAATTATCTTATTTTATACTGATTGCCAATAAAAATCAGATTAGTTTTTTTGTTGTAAAGTAATATCATAGCAAATATATATACATTAAATGTATAGTAATTGTATATATGTTTTGTTTTAAATTATAAATATGATAAAGAGTGAAACTAAAATATTTATTTTTTGGATATCTTTTATAATAATGAATACCAACAAAAATAATTTTTTTTTATAAATTAATATCGGATAAAATTATTATTTTTATTATTACTAATAATAAAAATAATAACAACACTAACAATGTCTTATTAGGACTATTTAGATATACTGTATAGTCACCAAACAATAGTTACTATCAGTATAACTATAATAGTATACAGTATATAAAGTACAGCACAGTTAGTTAGTTATCTCTCTCTCTCTCTCTCTCTCTCTCTCTCTCTCTCTCTCTCTCTCTCTCTCTCTTTCTCTCTCTAAGTTTTATGCGATCAATTGATTTGTATTTCAATCAATAAAAACAGCTAACTATTTGTTCACACAAAAACCTACCTAAACGTGATTAGAGGCCTAATTGATGGGAGCGGAAGCTTCCCTGACATCCCCTCTCCCTTACTAAACATAACAACAACAACACATAAAATGTGGGCCAACACACACACACACACACACACACACACACGCTTGTTAAACACTACAGTATTTATTGCCCGCAACTTATATAATATAATACAATGTATTATTTGGTTGTGAAAACAGTAGTGAATTTCTATACTCTAAATATAACAGTACTGTATATACAGTACTATATATTTATGTTTAATCAGACGTTACAGTAAAAACTATACACAACTACTACTAGTTTGGTTTGGTTGTTATACCCGTTTATATTGTATATAAATATATAGTATTGTATTGTATAATAATAAATGAGAGCACTTTTATATTATCTTTTTATTTTCGGGAGAAAGAGAGAGAGAGAGAGAGAGAGAGAGAGAGAGAGAGAGAGAGAGAGAGAGAGAGAGAGAGAGAGCTAAGTTGTTCATTGAATTCAAACATAACATAAAAATAATATAATCGATATATTGCTTAGAGGGGATCAGGTGGTTATGACGGGCTCGGCTTTACGGGACTCCCAACCCCGTGTGTGTGTGTGTGTGTCTGTACAGTATTGTACAGTACAAGTGATAACCTGATGTACAGTACAGTACAGTCACATAAGCAAAAGCAATGGACCCCTAACTGTGTGTTTTAATATATATATATCTAACATTTTTTTTCGCCAAACAGTTTATTCTCGTTATTTTCAAATCTAATATACCGTTTTATACACAAACATCATATACTACTACTACTACCACTATTGCTGACCAATACATTAAAAATAATAGATACTATACTATACTATACAATACTAGTACTACTGCTGCGGTATATATTGAATATTAGTGATGCCCCACACAAACATGTTTAACTGAGTGATGAACTGTTTTTCTATTCAATTTAGTCATCCCTTTCCCCACCTCCCCTCCCCCACCACCACCACTACCACCACAAAAAAAACTTCACATAAAACTACTGTATTGTTTTCTGTGACCAAAATTTAATGTACACATACTCGGCGGTATCTTAACATTTACAATACAATATATAGTATATATTGATGAATACAATATTACTTGTACTTTATATATATATATATAGTAAATAAAACATTTATATAATAAAAACAATGTTTTTCCAGTTATCATACTGTGAAACATTGAGAGAGAGAGAGAGAGAGAGAGAGAGAGAGAGAGAGAGAGAGAGAGAGAGAGAGAGAGAGAGAGACATTGAAATTGTTTGGCAATACAGTAATGAAAGCAATGTTGTAAAGAGGCTTTTGAGGAGAGTATAGCAAATACATTGAAAATATATTGTATATAATACTAGTTTTTTTATTTAGAGGTATAGTATCAATGATAACACATACACATAATACATAAGCTGATTCAGCACAAGTATGTCTATGTCTAGTAGTAGTAGTAGTATGTCATAGAAACAAACACTAAGAAAATGAGTAGGTATTGCTTAATAATAAAATAAAAAATTGTTGTATTTTTTTCAAATTAAAGATAGATTTGTTTTTTTCAGTGAAATAATAATAATAATAGAAAAAATTTAATACTTATAATAATAAGATTTGGGATAAACGCCATAAAAAATAGTAGTAAAAAAAGCTATTATTTATTTAACAATTACGATGAGACTATATATATATATATATGTGTGTGTGTGTGTGTGTGTGTGTGTAGGTGTGTGTGTGTATATATGTGTGTAATTTGTTGGCTAAAACTTATGGGTGATTTTTAGGCCTATTATTTCATACATTATAAATATATGATACATTAGTTGCTAATATAATACTGTATTGTATTTATATATATATAAATAGTAGAAAATAATACAGAAAATGAGTTTATATTATATATATGTCCATTGAATTTATCGTTTGAATTGAAAAGGGGGTGACAAAACCAACTAATAATATAAATACTAATAATAACTACTAGTATTTAATACATAACATAACATTGAATGAGTGAAAGGGTGGGGGGAAAGGCATTTCGGATAAAAGTTTAGTCGCTTTTTTTGTGTGGTTAATGTTCATCGGATTCATTGGGAAATCATACCAACAATGAGTCTCTCTCTCTCTCTCTCTCTCTCTCTCTCTCTCTCTCTACAAATCAAGAGGTCATAGCCTAAAACTAATGAAGCAATGGATTCACTGATGCAATGGTTGTCTACACACACACACACACACATCATATATAAACCGATGCATTGATGAACACATAGAGTATATAACAAACATTTCTCTATAGTTTTAGCGACTGAACCGCTAAACCCAAGCGCTTCTCTGCTCCTCTTTTCGCTTATATAGCGCTGATTGAGTACCGCATCTCTCTCTCTCTCTCTCTCTCTCTCTCTCTCTCTCTCTCTCTTTTGGATAGGAGAAGCCGTGTCTATGTGTGTGTGTGAATGTACAGACACAGGGATACAAGGGATTTGCGAGTGTAAAAACACAGAGCATTTGATGAGACAAAGCTCTTCCTAATCAAATCATTGCAGTTGAGTTGGCTCAAGGGGTGCCTCAGTTTATTTGACAACTTAATACCTAATAAATTGAGCAAAAGATCATATATTTTGATCACACATTTTTTGATCAAACCATATGAACTTCATATTAACAGTTAGAAAGAGAGAGAGAGAGAGAGAAGAAAAAGAGAGAGAGAGAGAGAGAGAGAGAGAGAGAGAGAGAGAGAGAAAGAAAGAGAGAGAGAGAGAGATAACTATTTTATTTTTGTTTTCCTGTGTCTATCATTTGTGTTATCAAAAATAAAATAAATAAATAAAATTATTGGTACAAAAAAATATTTATTTATATTGTATTATAATATTTAATGATCAACTAAACTAAACTAAACTAATACATTGCATAATATAATATTATGATTGTGTGTAATAATGTTTGATGTTTTTTTGTTATTGTAAACTAATTGTAAATGTATAAAAAAAACTAATATTTAAAATATAATCCTTAACACAAAAATATAACACATAAGTATAACAAAAAATTACTAAAAAAATTTTGTCAAAATAAAAAGTTTTTTGTTTGTTATGTATATATAAATATATATATATATGATATAATTGTGTGCTTATGTATTGTTAAAAAAGATCAGTCAGATCAACAACAAAAAAAAACGTAAAGGAGCTGTCATTTAAATATACAATACTATATATATTGTATATTTAAATATATATATATACAGTATATTTTAAATAATAAGACAGACAATTAGTTTTCCTACTTTTATATTATATAAAATAACATAAATATTAACATATATATAACACACACACACATACAAAACGTGTCATTACATTAATTGGCTTCAATTATTAATATTATTTATTTTTTTTTGTGTAGGACTTACCAAAAGTACCGGTTCCTGATCTACATAAAACACTGGAACGATACTTATCGGCACTGAAACCGGTGATCCCAGTGGCACAATACGAACAGACTAGACGTACGGTCGACCAGTTTCTGGAGGCCGATGGAGAGGGAGACAGACTACAGGCGCTGCTTAAACAATGGGCCGATCAGACAGACAACTGGGTATGACAACTACTATCATCAGCAGCATCCCTATCCCTTACCCCCCACCCTATCATCCTCCTCATCATCATCACAGCACCTAACCATCACTCTCTCTCACCCACCCGATTACTAGACAATATAATACAAACACTTTGTATGTTTGCTTTTTTTTGGGGGTTGAAAAGGGGTTTTGTTTGCTAATAGGGATTAAATTATTTTATTTTTTTTGTTGAATAAAACTCTAACTTTTAACTACTACTGTATATATAATACTAATAAAGTTTGAATAAATTAATATATGTGTGTGAATAACTATTGTGTGTGTAAAGTATATATACTGTATGAATAATACAAAAAATTTTTTTTTATTTGAACAATTAAATTGCTTTTCAATTTTGTGTGTTTTTTTTGTACAATTAATTACAATTTTGTGGGTAATTTTTTTGTGTGCTGTTTTTTAAATTTTAAACTTATATATTATATATAAATTTATATATTCAGTAAATATAATACTGTTTTTCTTATATCAATCGATAAATATTTTTAAAATTTCTCTCTCTCTCTCTCTCTCTCTCACACACACACACACACACACACAGATAGATAGATAGATAGATAGAGAGAGAGAGAGAGAGCAAATATTATTGTAAAAATTTATTTTTATCAATACTATACTAAAAATACAGTACATATATATATATATACTGTACTTTACATAACATTGTAGTATTTTGAACCTATATTTTTTGATATTATTGTTGTTATTTGTTTGTTGTTTGTTCAATATTATCCAATATTATAGTATTTTCAAAAAATTTATTTGCTATGTGTATGTGTGTGTGTGTTTGCATAAATTTTAAGCCATTTTTTTGAATGTCAATTATTCTTAATATTTCTTATTTATTTTGTTTTTTTACGTTTTTTCCTCTCTCTCTCTCTCTCTCTCTCTCTCTCTCTCTCTCTCTCTCTCTCTCTCTCTCTCTCTCTCTCTCTCTCTCTCTCTCTCTCTCTCTCTATCGTTATTAATGACTATCTCTCTCTCAAAAAAAAAAAAAATAAATAAATAAATAAAACACTCATTTTATATTATTATAATATACAGTATATACAGTACAGTATACACTAAATTTATTGAATAATATTATTGTTGCCCCCTCCACCCCACCCCCTATTAAATCAATGGTGCAGTTTATAGACATTGCCAATGAACACGATATTTGCAATTATTATTATTGTTACTGTACTGTACTGTACAATAGGATTTATACCATAGTATTGCATGAGATGGGGAGCAGGTGTCTTATGTCGGGTGCCAACTATATCACTGAGCGATAGTGAGTGAGAAAGAAAGAGAGAGAGAGAGAGAGAGAGAGAGAGAGAGAGAGAAGTAGTATATGAATGGTTAAGTATGTGTGTGTGTGTGTGCTGTATGTATATCTATATGGTATGTATATCTATATATATATATATATATATATATATATATATATATACCATTCCTCTATCATACTATCACATCCACAAGCGCTATATATATATATATATATATATATATATATATATATACCATTCCTCTATCTTCCAAATATTTCGATCACATCCACAAGCGCTTCTCCATATACTCGAAAACTAACGGTGCCTATCACTTGTGTATTGTGTGTGTGTGTGTGTGTGTGTGTGTGTGTGTGTGTGTGTGTGTGTGTGTGTGTGTGTGTATTCACTACACACTCATACACACACACACATAGACATTGTAAAGGGCACTGGGATTAGAGGCTAAAGACTACTCTCGAGACTATACTTCAATAATACAATATACGGTATATATATATATATTGTATATATAATACAATACTATACTCAGTATAACAAAATATAGATAATACAGCTTATCATTACTGGTATATTTTAGTTGGGTACAGTATGATTGTGTATACTGTGTGCCCATACCATACCATCATTATTATCAACTATAAGGACTTTCCCATTTTTATGTGTTACACAAAACTAAAACATAATTAAACAATTAGTTCAATCATTACACACACACACACACACACAAAATTAGATACAATATTTGCAATTATTTAATTTTAGATAAATAAAATTTTTATAAAACTGTAGGCATTTTTGTTATTTCCACAAAAATTTTTAGTTATAATTATAATTGAAATAAATTTTTCCAAAAAAATAACAAAAATATTTCCACTCATTTAATTAAAGTTTGTTTGATGTGTTAGTTAGTTAGTTGTGAAAAATGTATTTAAATTTTTATATGTAAATTATTATGTTTATTAAAGCATTGCATCTAAAAATACTTGATATTGTATACTAATAAAACTAAAACTATAATACAGTATATTACTTTAATTTTATCTTTTTAGACTTAAAAACTATATAAATTGAAATAAATATATATATTTTTAAGTAAATTTATGCTAATCAAAATTGGCAACTTTATTATATTTTTTTTTAATTTTTGCTATAATAATAATTATAATAATTAATATATTTCTAATTTATATTTACATTATTATTAATGTTATTATCATAAAATAATATTTAAATTTCATAAACATTTTTTGTACAGTATATTATGATAATAACATCTATATTATAATAATTTATAATTTTATTTATTAGCAATATATATATTATTTTTAGTTTTGATCATTAATTAAATTAGTTTACATATAATTAAAATAACAATTTTAGTTAATAGTATTATTATTATTATTATATTTATATAACACACGTACAGTTAATAATAGAAATTTTTATATCAATTTGAAACTAAAATAAATGCTTAAAAATTATTTTATATAATTTTGTTGTTTTTATTGATGTTGAAAATTTATATTTCAGTTAATTTTAATTAATTAAACTATACTGTATACATTAAATTATATAGTTGTTTATTTTTATAGACAATTTAGACATATTTAAAATATTATTTACAGTATATCATTATATATATATATACAGTATAATATTAACCAATAATTTATAAACAAAAATTTAATGTTATATTTTGTTGTTTTTATAGTATATAAAAAAAATTATTAATGTCTGGGAATGTTAGGACAAAAAAGACACCTGTCTTTTATATACTGAAATATTTATATATATATATATATATATAGATTTTAGTTTATATACATATATATATACTAATATACTGTAAATATATAAACAATATATAACAATAAATATATAGATTAAATAGTTGTTGTTTTTATTTAAAATGTATTTAAAATAATAATATATCTAAATACTTTATATATTCTATAATTTTGATATATCAAATTTATATATATATATACAGTATATATAAAAATTTATATATAATATTAAATATTTGCAATCAAGTTGAAAGTTGCATATATTTTTCAAATATTTTTATAAAGATTTTATTTATAAATATATTAATTATATATATATACCGTAGTAGGTTTAGGTTTTAGATAGCTATAGCAAAACTAAAATATATACCCACCCCACCCCTCCTCCCAAAAAAATAACAATAAAAATTTATTTATTTATTTTTTAAATAATAATCATTATCACTTATATATATATATATATATATAGATAACTCCAATATGGTTAGAGGACATGTATCTACTAAATGCCGTACCGTTGCCGATAAATTCGAGTCCATTTTATTTGTTTCCGCGCCAACAGTTCAGGACAGCCAACGATCAGTTAAGATTAGCCGTAGAGGTCATCAAATTTGTCTACGATTTCAGAAACCGTATCCAAACGTATGGTTAAAATTTATAAATAAATAAACTATAAATTGTTTTTTTCAATGGTGTGTCAAATGTCAAGGCTCTAGTTTATCGGTTTTTTTAACAGTGCCCTAAAAAACAAAACAATAGGGAGGGTTAGGTTAGACACTTAAAGTTTAAGTTAGGTATATGATGTGTGATTTATATATAATTAAAAAAAATATATTTAAATATTTATTTTTAAAAAAAATAGTTTACATATAAAAAATAGGAAAATTCTGTTAATATTTAGTTATTTATTTATTAAAAAAAATATATTTAAAAATTTTAAAAAAAATTATACGATATTATAGGCTATATAGCAATAGTCTAATTTTTTTTAATTAAAAAAAAACTACTAAACATTTAGTTAGTAAACTGTTTTAATTAGTTAATTACACATATATTTAATTATTATCATCTATCAGACACACACACACACACAGTATATATATTTTCCTATTAATACTACCCATACCATTACTATCTGACTATACATACCTTAACACCCGTAACCCATACCCTACAGTGAAAATCTGACACAAGATTTCGGCGCCGGTCACGGAAAAGGACAGCCCCTTTGTATGAACACGTATACCAACTTTTTCCGAGCTTATAGACTTCCCGGCGAAGATAAGGACGAAATCTTATTGATCGACAATAATAAGACAACTACTGGTAATACCACTGAAGCCAACGATGATGACGATAATAACTACCACTACAACAACAACGACAACAGTAGCGAACATATTGTCATTGCCTCCAGAAATCAGGTCCGAAATCTCTGTAATAAAGAGTTAAAATCCCTAATATTTTTTTTGTGTCTTATTTTTGTGTCTGTTTTTTTGTTTTGTTTGTTTGATAATGTATTTGCCATTAAATTGTCTGATTAGTTGTGTCTATGTGTGTGTGTCTATCTATCTATCTATCTATTTATCTATCTATCTATCTATCTATCTATATGTGTCGTCCTCTTTAATATATATATATATATATATCGTATCATACATTGACTGATAGTAATAAACTAAACATATATATAATAATAACAACAAAAAAACTTATGTATTATCTATAGTTTTTTTTCTCCTTTTATATACAGTATATCTAAACTCTAGTTATCTCCTTATTTGAAGCTTATGTAGTTTTTTGTTGTTGTTGTTGTGTTGGTCTCCGATAATAATCCACTGGTAGACACACACACACACACTAACAATATGAAAACATTTTATTTTTTATATCAATATGTTTAGTGGAAAATATATATATATACTGTATATATATTAAAAATAAAGTTTTACTGAAGTTATCATATTATACTGTACTTTAAATTATTATTTTTGAAGAAAATTGTCGATTAATAATAATAAGTTCAAAATTTAAAATAAAAATAAAAAATAATAATTATTTATTATTATTATTAACATATTATCACCAGTTTTTTGTCCTACAATTCAAACGCAACGAATTGCCCGCCGAAGACATACTGTTTGATAAACTAAAGTACATCTGGTTTTTGGCCAAAGAGTACGAATCGTTGGCACCGATTGTCGGTATACTTACCACTGAAAACCGTAAGATATGGGCCAACACACGAAAGAGACTGTTATTGAGTGAGTATTTTTTAGGGGAGAGAGAGAGGGGGGGAAAGGGAGTCAAAGAAGTTGATCCAATATTTTCCCCCAAATAAAAGCTAAGTATTAATATAAATAATTAATTTTTTTTCAGGCGATATCAACAAACAATCGCTAAAATATCTGGAGACCTGTCTGTTCATTGTCTGCATCGACGACTTTGTATCCAATAAGACCATCAAAAACCATCAGAGACGGGATTCAATACAAATGGCACGAATGGATCCGCAATATATGGCGTCAATGGTATTACATGGCGGCGGCAGTCAGTTATATACGCCTAACCGTTGGTTTGATAAGTTTCTTCAGGTTTGTTGTTGTTGTTGTTGATTGTGTTGTTGGTATTGTCATCCATTCAAATAATTTTTTTATTATACAAATTCATGTCCAAAACAAACAAACAGATAGTCATAGGAAAGGACGGCATACTTGGCTTTATATGCGAACATTCGGTATCGGAAGGCGTAACTGTTATGCGATTATGTGAGGAACTGGTCAACTATCTGGACGAACATCCTATACATGGCTCCGGTAGTTATTGGCAGAGACGTGATTCGACAAAAAATAACCAACAAAACCAACAGTTGTCCACCAGCACCACCATCAACACCAAGTGTCCAAATCTACATAAGGGACTGTTTGGTTTGCAATGGGATATCGACGATACCGTTAGATTTCAATTGATTGAGTCGACCAAACGTATAGACAAGTAAGTGATTGTTGTCTGACAACAACATACCTGTGCTACTTATACTTACTTGTATTATATACTACTAACTCTTTCATTCAATATATTCAATATATATTTAATTAAATTTTTTGGTTTTAATTAATAATAAAATTGTATACAATCTAATCACTACTACTACTAAAAAAAATACAAACAATAAAATTGTTAACTAATTAAATGATTTGATTAAATAATTAAATGTTTTTTTTTGTAAATTTTATTGGTTTATATCACCCAAAAAAACACCAAAAAGATTGATATCGGATGTCGATCTCTATGTCCTACAGTTCAACGAATTTGGCAAACAGTTTATTAAGTCACAGCTGATGAGTCCCGACGCCTTTGTCCAACTGGCCCTACAGCTGACCTACTATAAGGTTCATCGGAAACTGGTATCGACCTACGAAAGTGCATCGATCAGGCAGTTTCGGTTGGGTAGGGTTGATAATATAAGGTCGGCAACCATCGAGGCCCTGGGCTGGGCTAAGGCCATGTGCGATGAGATACCGGAAATTACTGTAAGATATTTCAATATAATAATAATGTAATATCAATATATATATATACTGTATATTGAAATAAAATTTAAACCTTTTTTTAAAAAATGATATGTATTAATGATTATATAAATTGTTTTTATTTTCCCAAAAAATAAAATTTTTAAAAACAATAGGAAAAACATAAGATTGAAATGTTTCAAAAAGCTATGAGAAAACAAACGGAAATATTAAAATATGTTAGTATTTAATCATTAAAAATAATATTAATAATAATATATTTTTTTAATTATCTTAAAATTTTTTTTAGACAATTTCTGGCCACGGAATCGACAATCATTTGCTAGGTTTGCGTGAAATAGCAAAACAATCAGCCAGTGATACGCCGATACTGTTCAGGGAAAAGTCGTTCAAAGAGTTTAGCAATTTTCGTCTATCGACTAGTCAGGTGTCCAACAATAAGGGTATACTTGTCGGCTATGGGCCGGTAGTTCCCGATGGTTACGGTTGTTCCTATAATATTACCGCCGATGACATCCAATTTTCTATTAGTTCGTTCTTCAGCTCAACGGAAACCAGTTCCGACTTTTTCGCCCTCAGTCTCGAGGGTAGTCTACTTCAGATGCGGGAGATTTGCATCAAAATTAATACTAATATCTAATGATTGAAAATCAAACCAAAAAACTAAACTAAAGTCTTTCAAAAAAAATTCAGTGATTTTTAACAACAAACAAAAAGAAACAAAAAATATATATTTTTATTGAATTATAAGTTATTAATATTATTTGACTGATTGTTATTATTGTTGTTGTTTGTTAATTAAATTTCATATATAAATATATTTAATATAATTTATTTGTTAAATTTTTTGTTGAATACTTTATATTTATATATATTGTTATAAATTATTTGAATGAAATATTTTATAGATTTATAGATTGTTAACAAAAATGTTTTTTTAAATTTTATTGATATATATATATTGTTTGTTTGTTTGTTTTAAATTTTAATATTATAGTTGTTTTGCAAAATATATTATATTTAATTGAAAAATGCAATTGAAAATAATACAGTATATATATATACTGTAAATTATACAGTATTATAAAATACGTTATTATAAAACATACCAGAGTTTATTAATTAAACAATTATTATTAGATATTTAGAGAGAGAAAAAATAATTTAATTATTTTTAGAAATATATTGTTAATTAAAAAAATAAATAATTAATTATAATTATTATAATAACAATTATCAGTAGATATTTAATGAATTAGACAATTAACTGGTTATAAACACGTCCATCAAATAAAATAATAATAATAATTAAAAAAAATAAATTAATAGATTGTTATTAAAAATAAAGTTTAATATATGTTACAAATGAAAAAAAACAAAATTTTATTTTTTTTGAAAATAAATAAATATTTTTATGATAGCTTCAATTAAATTTTAGCATGCTTAATTTATTGTTTTAACTTTTTTTTAGAGAGAGATGAATAGTCAAAAAAATAAATAGTAATGACATTCATTACATTTTTTTTTTAAATAAAAATCATCACTCACTCAATGGTTGTGACTATTTGTAAATAGTAATATATATAATAAATGAACTTGGTAATAATAATAATGATGATGAATCAATCAATCAAATGTTATTACAAGTTAGTATTTTTAAGGAAAAAAATCATTTAATTTTAATTTTCTCAACTAATTTATTATTTAGAAATATTTAGGAAAGTTTTTTTATCAGTTAATAATATAAATGATTTATTTTTAAACTATTTATTGTCATTAATGTTAATATTATAATTATTTTTTTTATTAATATTAATAGCTTAATGCTATGCTAAATATTTTTTTATTTTAGTTTTTTCTTTAGAAATTTTTTTTTTCAATAGTCATAAATTATTATTATTATTATTTAGTCAAAATAATAATAGTATACAAATTTTAATTTGTTATATATATATATATATACATATAATTTGTATAAAAAATATCCAAATGTACTGTAAATACAAGTTGAATTACCAGGGTAGAAAATACATGTAGAATATAATGTAATATTATTAAATTTCAAATATATATTATTAATAGATATAGTCAACAATAAATATATATATATATATATATATTGTTTAATTACATAACCATATATTATTATTTAGTTAATTAAATATGTGTTTTTAATCATAGTTTTTTTTCAAGTTATGTTGATTTAATAATTTTTAATAGACAATTAATTCAAATATCATTTTTCCATATTTAGTATGTATATAATTTTACTAAAAACAATAATTATGTAATATATATATATTTATAGTATAAATAATTTTTTAAATATTATTTTAATTGTATATATACAGTACATTATACTATAATTATAATTATTTTTTATCATAAATATACTAAATATAATACTATATTAATATAAAACTGTGTTTTAAGTAATAATAATTATTATACAAAAAACAGTATAAAACAAAAAATATAATTAACATTAAATATAATGTAAATTGATTTTTCAATGTTTATACTGTTTAATATATTTTTATTTCTAATTTATTTATTTTTAAATTTAAATCTAATGTATTATAATTTGTTAACTAATTTACTTTATTAATTAACATAAGTATATATAGATTTTTAATTAATTATATCTATATATATGTAGACATCACCTATACTCACAATATTGTATTAACTTAAACATTATTATGAATCATATACTCTTAAACTTAACATTTTTAAAAATAACTAATGAATATTCATAAACATATCGTATATAAAAAATATTATAAAAAAATAGTAATAGAAATTAACTTTTAAAAAATTTATAAATAGTATTAATCACTAAAAAAATGTAACAATCAAAATTAAAAATGTAAAATTAAAATTTTATGTTATTTGGTTTCAATAAAAAAATAAAAACAATTATGTTATTAAATTTATTAGCGTATAAATTAAACATTTTTTTCAATTAATTAATTTTATTTTATTATAATAATAATAATTTTAATATACAGTGTAAATTCATTTATCAATAATAATAATAATATTTCAAATTTAAAGCAATATCATTTATAATATTTAATAATAATAATAATATAATATAAATATGTCATAACTATTAATTTATAATCAAAAAATATAATTAATAAATTCAAAAACAAACAAACAAACAGTGTTAATTTTTTTTATGAAATACAATTCAACAAATAATTATTATTTTTTAAAAAAAAAACATAAATTAGTGAAAATAAAATTTTTGTTTTTCAAAATAAAATATAAATAATTTCAAACACATATACAGTATATGTATTGAACATTAAAAAAAAATTCCAGTAATAAATTATTTTTGGTGTAAATTATTTTTTTTGGGGACAAATAATAATAATATATTTAAATAAATTAATTATATAATAGTAATCATAATAATATCTTTATCATAGTTTTTTTTTGATTGATATAAAAAAACTTTTTTTTGTTATGTTTTGAACCATAAAATTCATTTTTAATTTTTTAAATTTTTTAATTATAATAATATATCACTAAAAAAAAGTATCAGTCATTTATAACACAGACAGACAAACAGTCAATACATTTGTGTTCAAACTGTATGTATGTATGTGTGTGTGTGTGTGTCTTATGGACTCAATTCCCAGACTATTAGGTGAGATCTGTCCCCTTTGGACAGCGATGTCGATGTCGACGTCGACGACGAATCGTCGTCACCGTTAAGTCGAAAATCAATATAGCCTTCGCCGCCGCTTAGTATCAAATTTTTAGTGCAGACAAAAAATTTGACGGCATCTTTGTGGCCGTGAAACGATAGCTGAGTTGTGCTTAAGTTACAAATGGGAACAAACGTCGACATTGCTAGCCGTCCGCTGGATGATGACGAGACAATAGCTGGCGGTGGACTACTCTGACTGCTGCTACCGCCTGAGCCACCACCACCACCAGCGACGGTATCTTTGTGAGCACTACCGCCGCCGCACGGAATGCTTAGTATGACTCCATTAGCCGTTCCGATCCAAATACGATGATTACTGGCCTTCAGTGCCGTAATACGTATAAAACTGAACGCTTTCGGACTCAACATTTTCGAGACATACGGTTCGATGTCGACGTCTTGCAGATGTTGATAGGGTTTCAAATTTGAATACAACTTCAATGTTGAATCCAATCTGAGGCTAACCCATACGCCGTCGCCCAATGCCGTCATCTGACGTGTTTGGGTATCTTTGCGCGGATGAACAGCAAACCAGTGAACCAATTGAAGGGTTTTCGTATTCAATATGAATACCAGATTTCTATAGCCTAACCAAACCATATCTTTTGTTGTCTCAATACACCGAATGCTGTACAATGCGGTCGTTGTGGTGGTAATGGTCGCTGACGATGACGACGACGACATATTTGTCATAGTATTAGACTTTGAATTCGTTGAATCTGAAGTAGTAGTAGTAGTAGTACTAGTAGTAGAAGTGTTCACTAAATTAAATACGACTCCAATATCGATGACATAGTAGGCGGTAAAATCCCATTCGCCGGTAACCATCGACCGTACAAATACACAGCACTGGCCGTTAGCTAAGGCCACAAATACCCGGCCTTTTGTATGAACTATTTGTAGTACAGAGTCTGATAGTTTTACTTTAGCAATACAATGGGACCACTGAGCAATACTCGAATGAATGTATAGATTTCCGTCCTGTCCTCCCGTCCACATTGTCGGCAAACATGTAGACATAGGTTGAAATATAGAACTCGTAGTCGATATGTCATCGGAAGTACTGGTGGGTGATGGGGGCTCAGTATAGGCCACATATTCGGATAGTTTATCCAACGTTGTCGATCCCTTTTCGGTGGCTTCGATAGCTATGTCCCGATAGGCTGACTCGTCCATACGTTTAGCTTCGTATAAGATGTCCACTTCTTTCTTATCGGTTGTCGATGTCGTCGTTGTTGTTGTCGATGACTTACTTCCATCACTTTGAGTGATCAACTCTTGTCTTTCGACTAATCTGATTGCATTGCCGTCGGCATCGATACCATCCGAGCCGTGAATGTCGTCGACTTTAGCTCCCGGTATCGACGATATACATAGTAAATGTGTTTTAACATTAAACGAGTCCAACACTTCTCCCGGATTGCTCCGGATGTTGACAATAGTGACTTTACTTTTGGAATGACTAACACTACAGATCCAGACAAATGTCGACAATTGGCTGTCAAGCGAACGGCTTGTTTGTTCGCTTAACGCTTGAGACAATTCGGTCTCCAAGTCGGCCAATGCATTGTTCGAGTCTTTCGCCGGCGGGGTTTCAGCGGTGGTCTGTTGTTGTTGTTGTTTAGCAGCTGATTGTTGATCCGTTTGTTGTGCCGAGCTTTCGATTTTATCACTGGGAAAGCCGGCTTCGCCACCGGTCAGATCGACAGCACAGGCGCACCATATTTTCATACCGACATCGTCGCCGCTCAACGGCCGACAATAGATGGGAACCGGAACCGACGTGCCTTTGATAGCACTGTTGACCATACGTTCGCCGGACTGGCCATCGCCGTTGCCAGTTCCGGTAATACTCCAGCCGTATGCCTGAATTCTATCGCCACTACCCGTTCGGTTGACATGAGCCCGGACACTGCGCAACGCTCGGGCCCGTTCGCTGGTCAAATCCGAGTCCATTAGCAACAGTAGTTCGCTTCCAGGGCCGCCACTGGCCGCTTGTTGAGCCCGGGCTCGCTTTCGCATGGCGTCCAACGCCGGCGTAACAGCCGTCGGATTAGCCGAATTGAATCGTACGGCTGTCCTCTGGGGCGACAACGACGCGGTCGACGAGTCCTTATTCGGCGGCGAACTTTGCGTACTGAATAGATTACTAAAACTATATAACAATTAAAAATAAAACCACAAAAAAATAATTAATTAATTAAAAACATCATCAGTTATGGGTTCACAATAGCACATAAAGATAACAATAGATAAGCAATCACTACCCGCCCGTCCAATTACGTCCACTTAGCGATAAATAGAGAGTTAGCAGCAAATTAGAAAAAAAGTTAATTATATTATAAATCAATATTTGATATATTATTTGACAATTAAAAACCAGACAAAAAAATTTGTTTACACAAAAAAAACATAAAATCAAAAAATAAAAGACATATCACTTACAACTTCCAAATGGCCGACTTTTTTTCGCCTTCAGTTTTGGTCGCTTTAATCAATTCCGACCATCGGATGGCTTCTTGTAATTCAATTAGTTTTTCTTTATATTGATTTCGTTCCATCAAAACCCGGGCCATCTCTACCCGTGTAAAGCGCTTCCTCTGAGCCATCGGTATATTTTCTTCGTCATCCTTTACCAACAACAACAACAACAATAATAACCATTCAATTATAACAACAAATCAATGGATCAATTAAATAATAACCTCTTTTTGTGCCAACAATTTCTGTTTGGTTTCTTCGGCTTCTTCTTTACATTTTTTCAGCTCTTCCTCCAGTTCTTTGATACGAAATTTTAGCCGTTCTTTGACAGCATCTCTCTGTTGGATCTCATTTGCACACATTGTTAGCTCACTTTGTAGTTCATCTACTTTGGCAATCAAATCGTCTTTAACTATATTCAGGGCATTCTTTGTGGCCAATAATTCGTTATTTTCGGTAATCAAGTTTTGTATCTCTTTTTCCATACCTTTTTGTGTGTTTTGTGTGTAACCAATAAATTTTAATTAATTATAATTAAATCGTAAAAACACAATTAAATGGTTTATATTGATATTAAAAATTTATATTAAAAATTTTTTTTTGTTTATAGTGTAACGGGAAGTCATAATAAAACTATTGCTTAAAATGTAAATATTATATTTTAAAAATTACTGTAACTTTTAAAATATTATATAATATTTTTAACTATTATATTAAATAATTTATATATTAATTATTTACATATTTATTTAATATCAGTTTTTAAATTATCTAAAAAAGTTTTTTTTAATTTTGTTTAGTTTACTAAACTACCGGTAATTAATTTTTAGTTTTTTTATTGTACTTACTTTATTAGAAATTTTCTAATAATTTTACTTTCAATTAAAAAAATCTAAAACACTATATATATATACTACAAACAATAATCATTAAAAAATAAAATAAAATACAATCACAATATGCTATGTATCTAATTTAATACACATTTCAAACAAAATTTTTAAATTTTAATTGCCAATAACTTACCAAAAAAATTGTCGTTCACTAAAAATACAAACAAAATAAAAAACAAAAAAACAATTAAATTAATAAATTATTTTGATTTTTTTTTAAAGAGGAATTGATATAAATGAAAAATTAATTCAAAAAAGTTTTACATAATTTCTAATAATGCAATAAACAGTAAATTTATAAACTTATAAACAGTACACGTATATAGGGTTTATATGTTGTGATAAAATTAATTAAAATAAACACATTAGACATAAAGTAAAGTGGGGGAGGATAGGGAAGGGGGAGGGGAGGGGAAAGCCTAAAAAATGGTTAGTGTCATACCAGTGGACGCGTATTCACTCGGGTGAACATATTGTCCTTTATTTTTATATATATATATATAAAAAACACATTTTGTTTTGACAGCAATTAATTGAAAAAAATTGATAGCAATATAAAAAAAAGTTTGTGTAGTAATTAAAAGATTAAAAAAGTCATACAAAATATACAGATATACCGTAAAATCAAACCAAACAAACAAAACAAATACCTGTAAGACTGGGATAGTCTCGATCCTTATCCCGATCTCTGGCCAAATCATCGACATCTTCAATAATGGATGGATTTAGTTCATCGAGTGTCAGCTCGCGGTCAGCCCAGGCCTGCCGTATGGGTGTCGGACTATTCGAGTCTCTTCTATTATTAGCTAATTGTTCGCTAAATTCTTCGCCACTACTCTCAAACTCTTGACGTCTGTTATTCTGGTATTTTATACTATAATTTGGTAGACTATTCGGTGGCTGTTGTTGTTGTTGTTGTAACGATGACATACCCTCATCGGTACCGATCAATATCTTTACTCTTTCCATTAGTTCGCAATGACTTCTCAATACTTCTGTATATCTTTCGTGTAATTTATTATATTCTTTCTTTAGTTCGGCTTCTTTTTCCTCCAGACGTAAGGCTATATCAACAACAAAAAAAACCAAAGAAAACAATCGTTAAGTAATAATACAGAAACTAAACCATCAATTGGTTGGACAACAACAACACAAACAACACATACAATGATCGGCCGAATTCTTGGCCTTCAGTTCCAACATTTTGACAATATTGGCTAACGAATCGATTTTTTGCTGATAATGTTGTTTCTCTTCATCGGTGGTAAACTCAAACTCGAACAGCCGTTGTTCGACTTTTTTCTTATTTAACTTTTCCTTTTCAAATGCAGTGACCAACTGTTCGTTATCGTCTTTACATAGTTCCAGTTCCACCTGATATTGTTGATTCTCGATGGATGCCATATCCAGCGATTCGAGGACATTGACCACCAGAGGCATCAGTCCGGCCACAACATCTTCGTCTTCATTACATCGGCTAATGATTCGTTGCAATTCGGTATAGATTTGTGCGGCCAATGTCTGTACCCGTTCGGACACTACATGAGTGGGTGAATCCAATTGTCGGCCCAATTCGTAGATGGTTTCGGTTGTCTGCGTCGATAGCGGTGGTGTATCGGGCGTATCGTTTATGATGGCCTCAGCCGCTGCCGATAACTTGCCGACCATTGGCGGTGTTGTGGCCGTTATCGTGTTGTTGGCGTTGGTGTCCATTATAATGTTGTCGTTCATCATTTGATTACCGATTGATTTTTTACTACTAATAATAAAAAAAATGCTTTTTTGACCCGAAATCGGTAAATCGATTAAAAAAAAAATAAAACTTCAATTTTTTAGTCACAATATAAACAAAAATCACTAATTTTTTAAATATATTTTTTATTATTTATTTATTTTTTTTGGTTAAACAATATGTTTATAAYTAAATATATTATATATTTTTATGTCATTATTATTATTATTATTAACATATTTTTTAAAAACAACATTTCAATTGTTATTATTATTTAATAAATATTTAATTTTATTTATAGATTACTAACACAAATGAGTTGTCATTTTTGTTGTTTATTATTAGTTWTTTGTTAATGATTTACATAATATATATTAATGATAACAAAAACATTACACACAAAAAAWATTATAACAATTATTATTAAAAATAAGTCAATCAATAGTAAACAATAATATTATACAATATTTTACAGTATAGTTTATGGAATGGGGTTTTAGGCAATCACTATATTTAATAGGAATATATTTCCATAACAGTTCCCCCCCCCAAAAAAAMATAAATATAATTTTTGAAATTTATAAACTTATTATATTATAAAACTAWTTTTTGTTTCTAATTTTTTTTATAATTAATTATATGAATTAAATTAATTTTTTTTCATAAATTTAATTATTTAATTACAATATTTTTTTTTAAAACTAAAGATAATTACAAAATATTATTATTTATGTATACTATCAATTGTTAAAAACTATTTTTTATTTATTTATTAAAAAAAATAAAATTTATATACTTGCTCAATCAATCACTTAGAACATATTAATTACTAAAAAAATAAATGTAAATAATAATTATTTTTTTTAAAAATAAGTAAAATATTTTAAAAATTTTAGGAAACAACAAAAAAAAGGTGGGAACACTATTGCATACATACACTATTAGTATAGCTTAAAGTACAGTACAAAAATAGTACGATGTTATCAATTGCACTGCGCATGCGTTTTGAACARTGAGTGACATCTAATTTGTTTGCCTAAAAATACTTAAAAACCATTCATAAACAACGTTACGGGTATATTTCCAATACTAATCCAAATACAACTGTTGTACAATTCATACATTATTTTAGGGGACACTATATATGATAGTATGAGTACTACAAGCGTAACGATTGTATTGAATGAATACATTTAGTATCACTTTTTTTTTGGACTCATGTTTTGAATCCAAAAAAAAAATAAAAATTCAAAAAATAAAAACATTTGAAAAATAAATAACAAATAATACAAACATTGGATCAGTTTTTTTGTTTTGTTGACCACCGCTGCTGATGAAGAATACATAAAAAACAATGTCTTTTACTAATAATTTGGACACCGATTGTCACCAACGAATTCGGGCCAACACCACGAAGTGGAGCAACAATATCGGCGACTATTCGATGATTGCGGCCATCGGTAAAGGATCGTTTGGTCAGGTATTCAAAGCGGTACACAAATCGGCGGACAATAACAACAACAACAACAATCACCGTACGAACTGGTCATCTGAAGACTGTCACCAACGCCAACAACAACAATACTGTGCCATCAAATCGATTGATAAGAAATCGTCGCCAAATTTAGGCAAAATCTTGACCGAAGTGTCCATTCATTTGCGTCTGAAGAACGACAATATATTGCAATTGTTTAACGTTATCGAAGACAATCAGTCAGTCTATTTGGTTCTTGAACTCTGTTCCGGCGGTACTTTAGGCCAATTGATCCAGAAGTACGGCGGTGTCAAACACTACAACAACAAGAATAAGAAGACAACGCCGCCGACGATGACGACGACGACGACAAACGGTTTGGACAATCGTATCGTTCAACCGGTTCTCGACTATCGACTGATTTCAACAATAATGAAACAACTGTGCAATGGTTTGGATTATCTTCACCGTAACGCCATTGTCCATCGGGATCTGAATCTTAACAATATATTGATTGTACGATCGTTTGATTGTGTGGGCGAATTGGCCATAAAAATTGCCGACTTTGGTCTGGCCATTGATCTAAATACAAATTCATTGCAACATTTGACGAAACCTCATCGCGACGATCACGTAATGCCAGTACCAATTGGGACCACAATTTGCGGTACTCCTGGTTTTATATCGCCCGAAGTTTGGTCACAAATGCAAACTGTTTCGGCGAAAAGCGATATTTTCAGTTTAGGATCAATACTATTCTCATGTATTGCCGGTTATACACCTAAAGGAGCACTGGTATGTAATTTTTTAACATACAATTACCGATATTATATGGTATTAATATCTTTTAATTTCAAAAAAATAGGATTTAAGTAACTTTTCGACGATTGCCTGCGATCTGATATGTCGTTTGTTGGCTCCCGATCCCAATGATCGGCCGACCATTGATGACATAGTTAAACATCAATTAATTGTCGGTCCGCTGCAAACCCAGCGGTTGCATCCGATAAGTAAGATAACCGATAGTCTAGAGTTGAACATCAATGGCGACGGCAGTGTTTTTATTAGATTCAAAAAGAAGTGCCAAACAATACAAGTATCACCCGATGGACTCAATGTTGTTATTGCCAGTACTGGTGGTAGTAGTGGTGGCGGTGGTTGTAGTGGAGGACAGCAACAAATAAAACAAAAAGTCTATAATTATTATAGTTTACCGCAAAACGAGTGGAAAAAATACAATTACGCACAAAAGTTTGTCCAATTGGTTAGAGCGAAGACACCGAAGGTTACAGTCTATCCGAAAAATGACGACAAATCTAATAATAATAATAATAATGAATATATCTTGAAGTCATCGCTGATGGAAAACTCTGACTTTGAAGTAACCATTTTTAACTCGACTACCAATGAAAGTAAAAAAGTTTTAATCAATGATTTCATGAATAATAATAATAATAATAATACGTTAAAACTCGCAAAGTTTGGCCAACGAGTCAAACAATTGTATGAGTTTTGTTTGAAAACGGAAAAAGACTTTCAAAACAGTGGCGACAGATCAGGTATTGATTGTTTTCCCATTACTTTTGGACGCAAAAGTAAAATCAAATCCGACTCATCGACAACAACACTGTCACCGTCGCAGATATCGAGTCAGATATTGAGATCCATTCAAATCGATGGTATCGGCGAAGCTTCTCAGGTATCTATCATTTCAGACATTAATTCATGTGTTGTTGCCATCATATCTGGTAGTGATATATGTTTTCTAATCTTATTTTTTGTTTGTATTTATCTGTTTTAATAGCTATCAAATGGTGTTTTCAATGTCTGCTTTACCGATGGCTCGACATTAAGCTTTCAAAGCGATTCGGAAGTTCCGGTTATTTTCTATCCGACAAATGGTGTCGAAAAAAGGTTTATAAAATTAACTATTTTTTTAATTAAAAAAACTTATTATTGTTTTTTAATTATTAAATTGTTTTTTTTAGGTATAGGAAAAATGATTTATTACCCGATTTTGTTAAACAAAAGTTGGCACTATTACCGCAAATTGTTAATAAATTAAAAGAGTCTCAACAATAATAATAATAATTTTGATAACAAATGTATCTATTGTGTAATTTTGTGTATAATTTTATATATAAATATATATATAAATGATTTGATGTACAGATAAAGACAACAACGACAACAACAACAAAATAATTTTTTATTGATTTAATTAATTTTATAAAATTGTATAAAAAAAAGTTTTATAAAAAAAAACTATAATTGGATTAAACAAACAAACAAATTATACATATTTTATATGTTGTTTAATAATAATAGTAATAATAATATAAGTCTCTAACTAAACAAATAAATATTTATTATATTTTTTTATAAATCTCTATATTATTATTAAGGTTTGACTAAATTAAAATTTTGTATAAAATAAATAACAATTAATTAATTTAACAAAAAAAATTTTTTTAAATTATATAACTTTCAAATATACACTATTGTAAGGGAACGGTAGGTAAGACAACAGCGCCACCCATAATGTGTTGACTTAACTGATTGTCAGCTAAACAGCACTTCCTTTTGATGCCCACGTCGTCGACATTTTGGACGCACTGTTAGGTAAGTTAATCACTTGAATTGATTGAATTAGTCGGCAATTAGTGGCCAAAAGTTTTTTTTWWAATTATAATTAACTTAAAAAATCAATAGTTTTTTWWTTGATATTAAATAATAATATATCATATGTTTGTTATATTTAAAAACTAATTGAAAGTTTGATTGATTTTTTTTCAATATACACAGTGTATACACACCACGTGTTACTACATATTATTATTAAGACCTATTGGATCAGTTTGAAAGACAATGTCCAAACGTAAAGGAAAGCAGACCCAGGAGCAGCCGGTGCTGGCATTGGGACCGCAGGCACTGGAGGGCGAAAATGTCTTCGGCGTCGCCCATATCTATGCCTCGTTTAACGATACGTTCGTACACGTGACCGATCTGTCCGGACGGTAAGTGTTGGTCACTGTTGTTGGTGGTGTTGATCACACCAATTGGATCCAACTTATTGTTTAATTGATGTGGTTTTAATTGATATCTATCTATATGTACCTTATGTCTAGTGAAACCATAACTCGCGTTACCGGTGGTATGAAAGTGAAAGCCGACAGAGACGAGGCCAGTCCCTATGCGGCTATGTTGGCCGCCCAGGATGTGGCCGAAAAGTGCAAGACTATCGGCATCAATGCTCTGCACATTAAGTTGAGGGCTACGGGAGGCACGAGGTTAGTGGTTATCCATCCATCCATCCATAACTGATTTGCAAAATAAACCATAGATTTTTTTGATTACCGGTAATATAATTTGATTTATTGATCTGTATTGACCAGAACCAAAACTCCCGGACCCGGAGCTCAAAGTGCATTGAGAGCGTTGGCCCGATCGGGTATGAAAATCGGACGTATCGGTAATTGAATTTGTTTTTTTATTTGTCTTATATATGATATAATATAATAATATATGGCAAACAATTGCTAATTGTTGTATCATTTACACACACAGAGGACGTAACACCGATTCCATCGGACAGTACCCGAAGGAAGGGTGGCCGCAGAGGTAGACGATTGTAATCCCAATACAYACACCGAGWGGACAGATAGTATTTCGGGATAAAGATCCCCCGATGAAATTAATTTGATTAATAAAATTGACTTTTTAAATGAAAAAAATAACTGTCTGTTTGTTTAATTAATTTAATTTTTTGTTATCTAACGGGTAATTATAATGTCTATGTTTGATAAAATAGATAGTCATCTCTCTTTCTTTCTCTCTTTCTTTCTCTCTTTCTYTCTCTCTCTCTTTCTCTCTCTCTCTYTCTCTTAATAGTACTGTATGTACAGTGTGTGATAGGGAGGCGCTGTTTAGTTGTATATATATAGAGGTTTAGAGGTTAACCCCATTATATAACTATTAGGTCATTAACTTTTTGTTCCACTAAATTATATATATATATATACAGTATATATGATAAATATTTATATATCACATACATGTATAATATATATTATATTATTTATTCAACAACATTATTACACTATATAAAGCTATTATATATAATTTATATATTTATTTTTCTAGACGAGTCTTATTTTTATTTATTATTATTTATTTATATTTTATTATTATATTGAATATAACATTAATAAAAAATAAAAATTTCATAATACAAACAAAACAATAAGACACTTAAAAAATAATATATATATATATAAATATTTTTAGGCTATCTCTCTYTCTCTCTCTCTCTCTCTCTCTCTCTCTCTTTTAATAAAAATAGTTGTCTGAAAATTTATGTATGCATTTAATGTTTAAATTTATTATGTATTGAATGAATGAATGAATGAATGAATGTATGAAATGACTGAATAATTTTTAAATGAATTACATTTTATATATATATATAACAATAATTTGCATATTATATACCTAAGAGTCATAAAAATTTATATATAAATATAGCTTATATTCAAAATAAAGTTTATATATATATATATATAGACTACTAGAGTAATACATAATTTAATTTATATAAATTTATAWATATWTATATATATATATTTAACACAATTTATATTTATACATAATGTATACCTAATAATACTCATACAAAAAAAATAATAATAATTTAAAGCTACAAATAATTTGATTAATTAAAAAAAAATCAAAAAAACAAAATTAAAAAAAAAATTTTACCGAAAAATTTCATTTAAATAAATTTTGTCCAACTTTTCAGTTTACTTTTGAGTACAGCTAGCGGTCCGTAGGCAGCCTTATAGCCATAGTTTGACATCAATGGATCGGTAAACGAATAGGCCGTATAGTATTTATGTATTTGCGATACGTCSAGACCCGGCGGCAAATGGTGCGGATGGTTCTTGAGTTCTTCGTGCATGTCTTTGATTCGTTGTTCATAACCGGCGGGTACTTCGTCGCCGCCGTGCGGACCGCTAAAACTGAAACTAATTGATCCTTCATCGGGTTCACTGGTATCACTGTCGCCGCCGCCAGCGGCAGCTTCATCGGGATCGTAGGTCGGCTTTTCTACGTAAGTTGGACTGTCGTGCGAACCGCTCGGCATATAATGTTCGCCAATATTGATCTTCTTCTGCAGCCTCGGAACCGCTGCTACTGCTGATGGTTGTCGACTCTCACGCCTCGGCGGTCTCAATGGTTCATAGCTCTGATGGGATGCTGTCGCTGATGATGATGACGACGATGCCGATGAATATAATGGTTCTCTGAGGGCATCCATTTGGCCAAAATTATATTCGTTGACCACTGGATTCGGATCTTTTACCGGCTTTTCTTTGACAACAGTCGGCGCTTTCAACGGTATCGTACCCTCGATCTTGAACTGAGGTGTTCTCAAGTATTTGTTTTGCCGGAAAGTCAGATGAAATTTGTTTGGCTGTACCTTAACTATGGCCGGCAGTAGCGGCGTATCAAACGAATAGGTTTTGAATTTTTTCTTACCCGCGTAAACACTGGATATGACCAACGGYTGGACGAKAGATATCATCATCGATGGTAATACTATAGCGGCTAACAGACAATATCGGCAAACAGTTTGTGTCTTCATTATATATCACTGCCGACGACAATGACGACACACACAAGTGGTTATAGTTTTTTTATTTTGAAGATCACCAGAAGTTTCTYTCTTTTTCTCTCTCTTTCCAAGAAGTGAGAGACAACTGACAGTCAAATTGTTAAATTAGCGGTCAATTGATGGCCACAAACAACGAAGAAAACTTCTTCTAATCTCTTCTTCTTCCACTTCTTCTATAAAAACAAATTGTTTCTCTTCTCTCACATCTCATCCGACAGTCTTTATGACAGTCAAGAAAACACAAGACTTTTTTTTTGCCACTGACTTCAAGAGAGAGAGAGACTTCAAGAGTATTAGTAGAAGAAGAAAAAAGTTGCAAAACTTGTGGTAAAATAAAAAAAAAACTAAAATAAAAAGTTTACGCTATGTTTAGCATCGGATAGGGACTAACCGTTTCCAATTGGTTGGCATACAAAATAGTTTTAGGGCCCTAACACACGTCATATATCTATACCTCTCTACACATACAGTGTATGTCATACACACACACACACACACTGTGTATCTCCTCCTCCCTGTGCTTCACCTGAAACGGACGGTGCCGTTGCCTTCAACAAAAAAAAAACGGTTACCCATAACAACACAATACAAAAACATTACTGTAATTAGGGTTAGATTGAGATTCCCAGGGAGGGAAGTTCCCAAATAAAATCCCTCCAATTTTCCCGGAAAATATGGAAAATATATTATATTCCCTCCATTGATCGTTTGAAAGGGAAAATATAATTTGTCATACATTAAAAAGTACCTAATCTCAATGACTATGTGTTTCAATTGGGACCATTATGTTAGTAATAATTCAATCAAAATGTGATTCAAATAATATTAAACATTTAGTAAAAACATTAAAATACATTTTGTAGACATTTACTATACAAACGTGTTTTTAATTAAACATTATGTAATGTGAGTTAGGGTACGATAGGTGGTACCACAAGGAAATGTCTTCCCAGGGAACAGGGAATATAAGACGAGGGAGGGAATCTGATCTAACCCTAACTGTAATATACAGTAATCAATAATACATAGGGTTTTTCAATGTATAATAACAACTATAACACATTGATAATAACTACAGGTATATAAATAAAAACTGTATATCAATAGCACAGTCACTGTTTGTTTGTTTGTTTAGTACATCAAAACATACCATTGAATATATCGATCGATACCATTGATGGACAACAACAACAACAACAACTAACAACTGATCCCATTATCATATCATTGACTTATTATCTGATCCCAACACCAATAAGTACAGACCATCATCATCACCACTACTACATCCAAACCATCATCAGCTGATGCTAATTGATTAATCATCATAACATAAATAAATGGTAAGTAAATTGATAATTGTTTTTAATATATCTATTTTGATTTGGATTAATTGGATCAATTGGTACTATCAGGAGTGTAATCGAGGAAAAGTAGTCCAATGTCCTACCGATGCCCTGTCGCTGACCAATCGGGTTATTGTTAATCCCATTGACTATCCATTGATCGACAAGAATCGGTAATTATTAATAATTATTAAATATAAAAAATGTTTTCAATTGTCTGATCGACAACTAATTGATTGCCAATTGATTTTAATTATTATTATTATTATCACTAACCAGTAATGTAGAGATAACGACATCAACTGGCCATAAGTATGTCTTTACACTGGAAGTGGCAGATCAGGTGCCCAGAGGAGGAATGGCCTACAATAGGCAAATGGTTTGTTAGGATTACCAGTAATAGCTGTTATAATGTCTTTGAATTTAATTTACCACTTCTTGTTGTTGTTGTTTCATTCAATATCTATAGCGAAAATGGGCTCAATTATCAATCAACGATACCGTCGATGTTCGGCTCTATAATTTCAATCCCAATACACAATTCATATCGAAAATTACATTAGTTGTGGATTTTATGCAAAAAGTTGCCGCCAATAGTGACCAATACGATACGGATCTAATGTCACGCGAATTTTTGATGCAATTTCCCCGACAGGCTTTTACCGTCGGACAACTGGTCAGTTTTTTTTGTATTTTCCTTTAAATTTTTACAATTATCGGTAAAATATCAATAATTTTTTCGTTTTTTAGGGTGTATTTAAATTTTTGGACAAAAAACAATTGTGTACAACAGTTAAAGAGATGGAAGTGTTGGTCATCGACAATATGTCTGGAAAACAACAACAACAACAGTCATCAAAGGAACCGTCAAAAGTATAATAATTTTTCTAGAAGTTACTTAAAACTTATTGACAACTAAATTAATTAAACTTTTTATTTTATTTGTTTAACCAAAAAACAAAAAAATTAAGATAAGAATCGGTCAATTGGTTCCCAATACACAAGTAGTGTTCGAAAAGGCCGACGACTCTTCAATTATACTGACCGGTCAGTCGAAGGGCAAAGTTGTCCGACAGTCGATCATAAATCCCAATTGGGATTTCGAAACAATGGGAATCGGCGGTCTCGACAAAGAGTTTAACGCCATATTTCGTCGGGCGTTCGCCTCCCGAGTATTTCCACCCGAGATTATCGAACAGTTAGGTTTGAAGCACGTGCGCGGTATACTGTTGTACGGACCGCCCGGTACCGGTAAAACGTTGATGGCCCGACAAATTGGCCAAATGTTGAACGCCAGAGAACCGAAAATAGTTAACGGACCGCAAATTCTCGATAAATATGTCGGCGAAAGTGAGGCCAACATTCGTAAACTGTTTGCCGACGCCGAAGAAGAACAAAAACGAATGGGAATCAATAGCGGACTGCATATCATTATATTTGACGAAATCGATGCCATCTGTAAGGCCAGAGGTTCGGTGGTATGTATGACGACGACCCTATTTATAACCAGTAATTAATTCTTTGTGTGGTTTAACCATTTTTTTAATGGATGGATAGGCCGGCGCTACCGGTGTTCACGACACTGTAGTCAATCAATTGTTGGCAAAGATCGATGGCGTCGAATCGCTGAACAATATACTGGTGATCGGTATGACTAACAGACGCGATATGATTGACGAAGCATTGCTACGACCGGGTCGTATGGAAGTGCAGATGGAAATCAGTTTACCGAACGAACATGGCCGACTACAGATACTCAATATACATACAACCAAAATGAAACAATTCAAAAAGTTGGCCTCGGATGTCAATCTGGATGAATTGGCCAGTTTGACTAAGAATTTTTCGGGTGCCGAAATCGAAGGACTAGTCCGGGCCGCGCAGTCGACTGCCATGAACCGGTTGGTCAAAGCCGATAGCAAAGTCCAAGTGGATACGGCAGCTTTCGAGAAACTGTTGATTGCCCGAAACGATTTTATGCACGCACTCCAGCACGACGTCAAACCGGCGTTCGGTACCAGCAATGAAGCTATCGAACGATTTTGCGGTAGCGGTGTCATCGAATGGGGTCAACCAATCAGGGATCTGCTGGACGATGGTCAACTGTTCATCCAGCAGGCTAAGTCAACCGATACGCCACGCGGTTTGGTCAGTATACTGTTGGAAGGTTCGGCCAATGCCGGCAAGACAGCATTGGCCGCTAAATTGGCACTCGAGTCGGATTTTCCATTTGTCAAACTATGTTCGCCCGAAGATATGGTCGGTTTTACCGAAACGGCTAAATGTATGCAAATACGTAAGGTTTTCGACGATGCCTACAAATCTACTCAGTCGTGTATACTGGTCGACGACATAGAAGGTCTATTAGATTACGGCGACATTGGGGCCCGTTATTCAAATCTAGTACTCCAGGCGCTGCGTTTGCTGCTGAAGAAAGAGCCGCCTCCGGGGAAAAAACTGTTGATTTTGTGTACGACTAGTCGTCGGGATGTATTGGAACAGATGAAACTGTTGACATCGTTTACCACTGTCATACACGTACCCAATCTGACAAAAGGCGAACACTTGGTCCAAGTCTTACTGAATCTAACGGAAACCGAAAACAATGGTAATTCGGTTTGTTTTGATCGCAACGAGATATCGAGAATCTCGAAGATTATATCACAGCGGCGACTGTCGATTGGCATCAAAAAATTGTTGGCTTTAGTCGACTGGGCCCGACAGGTACTGTGCTGACCATCACCACAACCATAACCCCTATATATATATATTTGAAGACTAAATAATTATTATTGAATTATTACAGATGGACCCATCGATTCGTGCGCCAAAATTTTTGGCCAAACTCGAGGAAGAGATGGCCATTGTTTGAGTGAAAATGATGGGACAACTGATGTGGATGTCTGTGTCTACTGTATGTGTGTGTGTGTGTGTCTGTCTGTACGGTAAACTGACTGCACAATTGTTTTATTGTTTTAACGGTAGTCTCGATAATGACATGTCATCCACACACACACACACAAACACACATTGAATTATAAGTATTAAAAATAGCAATATATATAATTAAATAAAATATTATATGATATTTATTATTGATATATATTTTATTTATTGTTACAAACAAAAAACACTAATAGGTATCTCCAAAAACTGTTATTCAATTTATTAATTATATATTGAAATTATCGTATATTTTATCGTTTGAAGTGAAAAACAATAATTAATATTATAATATAATACATACATACATACTATACATATTTGAAATGTTAAATTAAAACTCATTAAACCATTTTATTTCTGTTATAATTAATCAATCAATCAATAGATTCAGATTTATTTTCTCTTTTTTAAAAAAAACGGATAATAGTTATCAAATACATTATTGAAATATTATAATAATTATATTCAAATACATTGAAAAACAATCAGTTTATATATATATAGAGAAAGAGAGTCTACTATAATTGTTATCAAATCAAACAAATGTTTTATTTAAATGCCAATTATTGGCTACAAAGACACTAATGTTATTGATTGCTTATTATATTTAATTATAAACATATATATATAATAATCATTAAAATAATTAATAATAATAATAATGATATAAATATAGTCAACAATTACTGAATAGATTTTAATGAGAATATATAAATAATAATAATTATTATTATAAATATATATATATATATATATATAACATAATCAAAGCAAATATATATATATAATATATGGATTACGGTAATTAAATTACATGAAAATTTTGATTTTAATTTTTTGTGTAATATTCCTACTATTAATTTTGTTATAAATTTTTTTAGTGTATTTTTTTGATTATTTATTTATTTATTTAATTAATTACTATTACATTAAATACATGTATATAAAACAAAAACATGTATATATATACTGTGTATGTTAATGTGATATTTATTTTTTTATTATTATTACTTATTTTTAAATTATACTTTACTGATATCATTTAGTGGTATAATTTATAATAATATATATATATATATAATGTTAATATTATATATTTTAGATTTAAAAAATAATTTAAATAAATTTCAAATTAATTCCTGATATTTATATATACCTCTACTTTCAATTATAATAATAATAATTATTATTATTGCTATTTTTGTTATATAATTATTTATTTGTTAAACATTTATTTTATTTTATTTATTTATTTTTTGATTAACTGTATAATTTGTTCAAAAAAAAAAATAAATAAAATCATAAATAAATGTGCGATTTTTTTTTGGTAATTCGTGACAATTTATTTATTTATTTTTGTTGTCAATATTTTTTATAGAAAATTTTATTTTTTAAAAGTTTACATTAAATTGATTTGAATTTGATCAATAAAAAATGAGTTTAAAAATTATACACACAATCTGTATTGAATATATTAAATAAAAATATTAAAATTATTAAAATTATAATTATAATGATAATAATTTTTGAATATTTCAAACATCACCTGCTTTTACTTAAAAAAATGCTATCCTATTATATCGTATAATAAATTTAATAATTATTATTATATATATAAGAGTCAATAGTCTCTGAGAGAGAGAGAGAGAGAGAGAGAGAGAGAGAGAGAGAGAGAGAGTCAGGGGATAAAAAAATCTGATAAAATTAACTTTAATTTAAAAAAAATTTATTTTCATATATTTAAACGCTATGTACTGTATATATATAATATAAGTTCAAAGTACTAATTGAAAGAGTAATGTGTATATAAAATATATTTTTAAAAATAATTTGCAACTAATTTGTAATACAAATATCTATACATAATGTATACATAAATTAAAAAACAAAAACAAAATTACTTGAATATTATTATTATGATATTCATGTCATCTCACAATTCATTGTATTGTATTGTATTATTATTAGTGTAGTATAGCATACATTATATTATAGTATAGTAAGGATGCCGTTATTACATGTATATACAGTATATTTTATGTTATAAGTAATGTTAGCCCATATTATATAATATATGGAGATATCATATCTGATAATATTTTTATTTAAAAAAATTTATTGTATGTTAATTGTATACACAAATTATATACAGTACTATATATATATATTAATACATACATACTAGCGCTTCCCAATTGATAAAAGGCATAACAACACAATAGCCTTACAATTACTGTATTATTTTTGCCATTAAGAGAGAGAGAGAGAGAGAGAGAGAGAGAGAGAGAGAGAGAGAGAGCCTTCAAAATGTTGTAAATCCAGTTCAGTCCACAAAAACTAGAGTCTAAAAACCCATTGGAAAATAACATTAACATTATATTCAGTGTCTATGGATATTCACAATACACTAACACAACAGTAATAATAATAATAATTTGATGGCAAAAACTACTGTACCTTCACATACATGTATATAACATTTTAAAACAACAAAAATAATACTACAGTTGAAGGGATAGTTGTGTTTTTTATTTATTTCTAGTTTTTTTATACAACAACTACTCATATACAGTATACTAGTCTTAAAAATTAAATATCAACAACAATAACGAAAAAGTTTTTAATTTTTTTAATATACATGAAATTTTTAAAGTAACGATTGGCTTACTTGACGTGGCGGTGCACTTACAGCTAAAAAACAATTTATTGGGATTTTTTAAAACAAACATTTAGTTATATATGATATAAGTTTTTATATGTCATCAACTAATATATATAAAAATATACCCAAAAATGTAATAATCAATTGTGTGTATAATTATTAATCAATTTTGTATCGCTTATTAAAATAATTTTATTTTATTTTGTTTAATGTGCTGTTTGTTTGTTGTGTTGAAATTAATAATTATTATATAATATAATAATACAATCAATTGATTGATTTTGTTTGAAAACAATTTATAAATACCAGTAAATTTTTTTTTGGAAAAAATGTTATGTATATTGAAAAGAGTTATTGATTTTTTTGAATGACACAAAACACTATAATAAACTTAATGGTAAGTTTACATAATATATTAACAGTAATATTATTATTATTATTATTATTATTATTATTATTATTATTATTATTATTATTATTAATATAGTAATATCGTAACTAATTTATAATTTATATATTAATATTAATTCATTTGATATGATTTCCCTTTTGGATGTACAACACAATACAGTGTGTTTGTATGTAATTAAATATATTGTTTTATTTTATTTTATTTTTTTGCTAAACAATATTATACAGTATTATATAATGAATATATTATTTGAAAGTATTGTATATTTAATATGTATGTGAATATAAAAAACGGAAACATTTTTTTAATAGTATATATCATATATATATATATATATAATATATATTTATTTAATAAATATTTTCTCATAAGTATTAAATTATTTTAGTTATCAGTATATTACTACTGTATAAACACTGAAATATAATACAATATACAGTATATACTGTATATATAAAGTTATAATTAGAAATTACATCTAAAAGGAAGTTTAGATCTATAAAATTTTTTTTATTAATACTGTAATAACATGTATAATAATAATAATAATTATAATAAACTATAATAAAACTTAATAGACTATAGTATTAATTAAATGCTAGTATAATATTTGTTTTTTTCACAAAACAAAATTATGTTTATTAATAATATTTTTAATGTTTGTTATATATATTCAAATAAGGTTTAAAATTTCTTATAATAAATTTAATTATTATTATTATTTTTAAAAGTTTATCATAAATAATATTTGTATATTAATTGATAATTAAAAACATTTTGATAGTTCACTAATGATATGAGTTATGCGATTAAATTGTCAAAAAAACTATAAGATTTATGAGTTATTGAAATTAATTTCTTGTTTAATGTTTAAAAAAATTTAAGTGAAATATATTTTAGAAGTATTTTAAGCTAATTTTTTTTTAATTTCAAAAAAACTAATTATTAATTTTGTTAATCTTTTCAATTATCAGTAAGTTATTTATAACTTTATGTTTTTAAATAAAAATATATTATAATGTATAACACTTTTTTATGAAAAAATTAATTTAGTTTTTTTTACGTTTAAATTTCTAAATAACTTAAGAAAGTTTTTTGAAACTAATTAAAATATTTAAAAAAAAAAACTAATATTAATAAATAATAATTCATATTATGTTAAAAAAAATTATAATTAATATAAAATCATTAAAACCCTAAATCTGTAAATAGTTTTTTTTTAAAATATTAAACAAGTATTTAATATATATTTTTWWAAAAATACAATTAATTTCTCATATTTTCATTTACTAGTTTCGGTGCCATCGATGGCCACAACAACAACAACAACACTGACCAGAATGGCCTACGAGCCGGACGACGACGACCTACGAGATGTCGTCGGCGGCGGCGGCGGTGATAATGACCGCAAAAGACGGCGCCGACTGAAAAGTCGACAGAAAAAGTCCTGTAATTCCCAGATATGTTGCGCTTATCTGATGAGTATTTTGGCCGTAACTTTGATTATCGGCGGAATGTATTTGTCGTATATTCATTGGACCAAAGGTTGGCTACTGATATCGGCCATCGGTATTGTTGTGAATCTGATGGGCTCATGTATGTACTACAGTGGTACTAATCAACTGTATTACCAACACCATCGCCATCAACAGCAAACTAGCGGTGCCGGTGGTGGTAGTGGTGGTCGTAGCGAACATATCTATGAAAACCGAACCAATCGTAGTAGACATCGCCGCCGATACCGATCGCGTGGTCTCAGTACTGATCAGCTGATGCCGTCGGCGCCGCCACTGAATCAGAGTCGATCGGTTAGCCAATTGTCGTTGAATATGATTCCCCAATACTTTTGTTCGGCCGCAGCCACTACCGCAGCCGCCGCCCACTCTGACACAGAGTCTACTGTCATATCAATGGCCACACAATCGGCGGCGGCGGCGAATCCGTTGGCAGCGTCTATATCACCGTTGACTACATTAAGCCAAATATTCAGTGTCAACGGCCAGAGCTATCTAATATTGCCGCTAAACGGCGAACCATTAAACTCGGCCAACAGTTTTCCGCTACAAAATCTTGTCGTCAAACTGACGGACAACGAAAGCAAAACCGTCGACAAACCGGACGGAAAACATCTTTGTCTTCAACGTGAAGAACAGTCGTGTCAGACGGATATCGTTGCAAACGACCGGAAAAACGGTAGCATTCGCTGCAAAGACGTTCAAATGCAGACCATTTCACGCGGYGGTGGCGGCGGAAGACATCAACTCGCGGAACCAGTCGGTGATAATCAAAGATATAGAGAACAGTTGCAAAACTGTTCGCAATCCTATCAGTTGATACAATCGACAAGTAGTGCCACCGGATTTGGTCATCAAGTGATGGCAAACAATGGCTGTTCTGCTTCTTCTTCTAACGAAACTCATGGAAATAGTTTGGAACCGTTCGGTGTTGTCGTCGTCGTCGACAAACAAGAAGACAATCATCAGACAGTTGTTGAAACACTTATCGATCTGAACGATAGCCAACCGACTGATGGTCCGTCCACTTCGCGACAGCGATCAACGGGTCATATGAATGACACACAAATCACTAGTAGTAGTAGTGGTGGACAAACATTAGTGACCATCGATGACAACGACAGTCAATGCTTCGATAGTTTGCTGTCGGATAACAACACCGTTACCACCGCTGTTGGCGAAGATCACATGCATATCAATGACAACGACGAAGACGATGTCGTAGACGTGGATAGTCTGTCCGTTCATCCGCCACGTTATGAGGATGTTATACAATGTTTCAGAAATTACAACAACAATAGTATCGGTAGTAGTGGTAGTAGTAGTAGTGATGACCAACAGATTATTGTCGATTACGGCACTCTTTGATTCAAAAAAAAAAAAAAATTTATACAAAACTTTTTAAAAACTTTTTTGTTTCATTAATTTATTTACACATTATATTTCATTACAACAACAAAAAACTTTTTATAAGTATTTTTTATATATAAATATTTTTCAGACATTAATTTTTTTTGATTGTATAAAAAATAATGTTTTTTTATTGTATCTAATTATTCAATTGGCTTTGAATTTGTGTGTATTTTAAAAAACAAAAGTATTTTATTTTATTATTATTATTTTTTTTGATACTGTGATAAATTAATTTTTAAGTAATAATAATAATTATATTTTTACAAAAAAAAATATTTACAATTGTATATCAAACCACATAATAATCATACAATAATTTTGATTTACTATAAAATAAATATATATATTTAGGTATAGTTTTATTAATTTATTATTAAAATATATATACAATATATAACAATTTAGTACAATATAAAAGTGTAAATATTATATAATTATTTATAATATTTAATACAACAAAAAAATATAAATATAATAAAAATATACAATAAATGATATTTTATTTGGCATTAATTGTTTGGCAAAAAATTTTACGCGCCATCAAAAATAAACGCAATTTAAATACTAATAGTAATAATAATTTGAATTAATTTTATTTTTTAGTAACAGTTTTAGCCGACCATTGATTGTCATAATAATTATTATTATCATTGTTTAGATCGATTACATTGTATAATATCTTTGACTAAAAAAATATGGTTTCAATAATATTCAGTCTATTAGTTGCTATGATTTTTGGTGCAATTTTCTCATTTGTCGGCCTATTAATTGTTCCCACAATTAGACGACGATTTTTCCTATTTATTGGACAACAACTTATTAGTTACACTACTAATAATAATATGTGTATTAAAAAAAACAATATTTTTATTTATTTATTTTTGGTATACATTTTAACTTTATTTTATTGGTGTTTCATAATTAGCCGCCAATTGGCTGCCAATGTGTGGCCATCCGTGGTCTAGAAATGAAGAAGAAATTGTTGGGCTGTTGTGGGAAATGTCGGTTAAACTTCGGACCGATGATGAAAAGGCAGTTGTTTTGTCGGCCATACTCCGTATGTGTGGTTACTATCGGAGTCCCGAGGCTATCAAAAACTATCGCAATTCAAACTAATAGAAATAAATTGTTGGCGAAAAAAATGAGACATTTTTTTAAATTTTATAACAAAATTAATTCATATTATTATTAGTTTTGTGTAATAGATTTAATAGATTTTTTTTATAGTTTTATAAATAATTTTTTTTTGTTTATGTATATAATCTGAGAATTTAATTATCAACAAAAAAAACTTATTAAAGGATTTATTAAAATTTTATTTTGTTATTATTGAAATAAATATAGTTTTATTTAATTGAAAATATTTATTGCAATTATTATTAGTTTTTTAAATATCAAATGAGTCTAACGAGTCGGCCGACCATTGATTATCGATATTCGCAGGTTATGACAGACTACCGATGACCGGGACTTGTTGTGTCGGGTTAGCACAGTTAGCCATCAGTTGAAACGATTGGCGAACTGACTGCCGATCAAGTAATGGCAGGCGTTTGGACAAACATCGGTCAAACTTGCAATACGTATGGATAGCCGCTACCAGTCAATCAATTTGGAGCCCAATTGGAGGCCCTATTTACCAGAAACTACCGTTTCGTTTTCCCTACCATTCCGTATAAGTCATACAATTGATCAAATCAAGTTTTGATAAAATTGTTAAACAACCAAGTACATTTTAATTTGTTTTTGGTTGTTGTGGTTACTACCTCCAACAACCATAGTTCAATAAAATCAAGTTTTGATAAAATTGTTAAACAACCAAGTACATTTTAATTTGAATTTTATGAATTTCCATAATAAGTTGTATCAAAAGTTTTTAGCCTTAAGCAGCTATTAAAATAAATCATTTCTACATAATATTTATTAGTAATTAATTAATTAAGATAAACAACAACAAAAATAGATTTCATTATCTGTTTAAATAACTGCAGTTTAAATAATTAATTTTCAAAAAATAAAATCGGTTTTAATTAACAATAAAACGATTATTGATTTTCATTATCTATTTGAGTGACAATTCGAATTCGATTACGAGATAAAAACAATTCGATGACTGATATATATATATATATATATTGAATTCGATATCGATTTGCATAGAATATTAACAAAACTGTAAAACAATGTTAAAGTTTTCATTCTAATCTAAAATATAATGTAAACCAATAATAATAATAATAATATAATCAATATAAAACTTATAGTTTCATATGGTGGGATCATAGTGTATGAAAAATTAGATTGACCAAATTATATTTTATTTGGAGTACTAAATAATAATACATACAAATTAGAAAAATAAAACAAATTTTGATAAATAACTTATTAATTAAATATAAATTTATTATTAAATTAATAAAAATTAAAAATTAAAGAAATTAGTAATTAATAAAAATTTAAAATTATATGAAAAACAAAATACAATTTTACTTATTTTTTATATGTTTGTTGGAAACTCTAAAATTTTTATTTCAATGTTATTGCGCAATCACTATTGATAGCTTTATATGTATTAATGCTTCCCCTTCAGTGCTTACCCTTTTCCCATATCCACTATATTGGTTAATCCCACCACCATATGAATCTATAAGTTTTATATTGAATATAATACAATAATAAACATATTAATCGAAATTCGAATATATATATATCAGTCATCGAATTGTTTTTAATCTCGTAATCGAATTCGAATATATATCAGTCATCGAATTGTTTTTAATCTCGTAATCGAATTCGAATATATATCAGTCATCGAATTGTTTTTAATCTCGTAATCGAATTCGAATATATATCAGTCATCGAATTGTTTTTAATCTCGTAATCGAATTCGAATATATATCAGTCATCGAATTGTTTTTAATCTCGTAATCGAATTCGAATATATATCAGTCATCGAATTGTTTTTAATCTCGTAATCGAATTCGAATATATATCAGTCATCGAATTGTTTTTAATCTCGTAATCGAATTCGAATATATATCAGTCATCGAATTGTTTTTAATCTCGTAATCGAATTCGAATATATATCAGTCATCGAATTGTTTTTAATCTCGTAATCGAATTCGAATATATATCAGTCATCGAATTGTTTTTAATCTCGTAATCGAATTCGAATATATATCAGTCATCGAATTGTTTTTAATCTCGTAATCGAATTCGAATATATATCAGTCATCGAATTGTTTTTAATCTCGTAATCGAATTCGAATATATATCAGTCATCGAATTGTTTTTAATCTCGTAATCGAATTCGAATATATATCAGTCATCGAATTGTTTTTAATCTCGTAATCGAATTCGAATATATATCAGTCATCGAATTGTTTTTAATCTCGTAATCGAATTCGAATATATATCAGTCATCGAATTGTTTTTAATCTCGTAATCGAATTCGAATATATATCAGTCATCGAATTGTTTTTAATCTCGTAATCGAATTCGAATATATATCAGTCATCGAATTGTTTTTAATCTCGTAATCGAATTCGAATATATATCAGTCATCGAATTGTTTTTAATCTCGTAATCGAATTCGAATATATATCAGTCATCGAATTGTTTTTAATCTCGTAATCGAATTCGAATATATATCAGTCATCGAATTGTTTTTAATCTCGTAATCGAATTCGAATATATATCAGTCATCGAATTGTTTTTAATCTCGTAATCGAATTCGAATATATATCAGTCATCGAATTGTTTTTAATCTCGTAATCGAATTCGAATATATATCAGTCATCGAATTGTTTTTAATCTCGTAATCGAATTCGAATATATATCAGTCATCGAATTGTTTTTAATCTCGTAATCGAATTCGAATATATATCAGTCATCGAATTGTTTTTAATCTCGTAATCGAATTCGAATATATATCAGTCATCGAATTGTTTTTAATCTCGTAATCGAATTCGAATATATATCAGTCATCGAATTGTTTTTAATCTCGTAATCGAATTCGAATATATATATCAGTCATCGAATTGTTTTTAATCTCGTAATCGAATTCGAATATATATCAGTCATCGAATTGTTTTTAATCTCGTAATCGAATTCGAATATATATATCAGTCATCGAATTGTTTTTAATCTCGTAATCGAATTCGAATATATATATCAGTCATCGAATTGTTTTTAATCTCGTAATCGAATTCGAATTGTCACTTAATTGTCGAAATCGATTGTCGTCTCATTCATCGAAATTTTATATTCGAAAAAATTATTATTATTTTTTTGTTATCGAAATAAATATTATTACAGTATTATTATTATTATAAGGATTTACCACTTCTTCTGTTAAATGGATCCAATATTTTATGCTATTATTGTTTATATAATATGTTTACTGATAGCTATTCCTTTGATTTCGTATTTCAGTTTTCTAATTGGATTTAATTTGATTGTCAACTATCGTCTTCATCGTCAACTACAACAACAACAACAACTAAAACAACAGTAATTACTAAACCGATTACTAGTATTTGCCGTCAATTGTCGTTGAATATGATTCCCCAATACTTTTGTTCGACAGCCGCCGCCGCCACCGCTGCCGCCGAGGAGTTCACTGCCATATCAATGGCCACACAATCGGCAACGGTGGCATCCGTATCACTGTTGACCAGATTTAGTGACCAACTATTCAGTGTCAACGGCCAGAGCTATCTAATACTGTCGATAAGCGGCCGACCACTGAACGCGACCAACAGTTTTACGCTACAAAATCTTGTCGTCAAACTTGTGGACAACGAAAGCAAAGCCGACGACAAACCGGACGGAAAACAACTTCTTCTTCGTCTTCTTCAACGCGAAGAACAGTCGTGTCAGACGGATATCGTTGCAAACGACCGGAAAAATGCTAGCATTCGCTGCAAAGACGTTCAGTTGCAGACCAGCGGCAGACAACTCGCTGAACCAGTCGGTGATAATCAGCGATTAAGAGAACAGTTGCTGAATCAGTTGATACAATCGACAGGTAGTGTCACCGGATTTGGTCATCAATTAATGGCAAACAATGGCTGTTCTGCTTCTTCTTCTAACGAAACCCATGGAAATAGTTTGGAACCGTTCGGTGTTGTCGTCGTCGTCGACAAACAAGAAGACAATCACCAGACAGTTGTTGAAACACTTATCGATCTGAACGATAGCCACCCGACTGATGGTCTGTCCACTTCACGACAGCAATCGACGCCGCCATCATCGCAGTCAACATTGACGGTCAGCCATACAAATGTCATACAAACTATCAGTAGTAGTGGTGGACAAACATTAGTGACCATCGATGACGATTACGACGGCGACATTGACAATATCGTCACGTTATGAGGATGTCGTACAATGTTTCAGAAATTACAACAACAATAGTATCGGTAGTAGTGGTGGTAGTAGTGATGGCCAACAGATTATTGTCGATTACGGCACTCTTTGCTTCAAAAAAAAAAAAAAAACTATACAAAACTTTTTTTTAAACTTTTTTTGATTTCATTAATTTATTTAAACATTATTTCATTTCATTAAAAAAAACTTTTTATAAGTATTTTTTATAAATAAATATTTTCTAAGACATTAATTTTTGTTGTATATAAAAATGTTTTTCAATTATTCAATTGGCTTTGAATTTGTGTATTTAAAACAAAAGTATTTTATATTATTATTATTATTATTAAATTTTTTATGCTGTGATAAATTGATTTAAGTAATAATATTTTATTTTAAATATTTACAATTGTATATCAAACCACATAATCAAATCATATAATTGATTTTCTATGAAAATAATATATATTTAGGTATAGTTTTTATTAATTTATTTTTAAAAATATATATATATAGGGACTATAATTATATAAATATATCAATATATAACAATTTAGTACAATATAAAAGTGTAAATATTATATAATTATTTATAATATTTAATACAATAAAAAAAAATAATAAAAATAATAATAAATGATATTTTATTTGGCATTAATTGTTTGTCAAAAAATTTTACGCGCCATCAAAAATAAACGCAATTTAAATACTAATACTAATAATAATTTGAATTTATTTTTTTTTAGTAACAGTTAGCCGACCATTGATTACGATTATTATTATCATTGTTTAGACCACTTATATGTTTAGGTCAATCAATGGATCCAATCATATATTTCTTTGTTAGCGGTTTTATTAGCGCATTCATTGTCTGCATCATTATATATCATCAATATCTTCGGCCACAACTACCGGACAATAATATGTGTATTAAAAAAAAAACTTTATTAATATTTTTTTGTATATAATTTACCGGTTTTTTGTTTGATAACTATTTTCTTGTTGTTGTTGTTGTTGTTATAATTAGCCGTCAATTGGCTGCCAATGTGTGGTCATCCGTGGTCTATAAATGAAGAAGAAATTGTCGGTCTATTCTGGGATAAGTTGTTATGCCCGACGGMTGATGAAAAATCGGTAGTTTTGGCCGATATCCTCCGTAGATGTGGTTACTATAGGAGTCCCGAAGCTATCAAAAACTATCGCAATTCAAACTAAAAATATATGGAAAAAAATGAGACAAATATTAATTTACACAAAAAAAATTCATTCATTCATTCATATTATTAGTAATAGTTTTGTAACAAATTTTTTTTTAAATAATAGTTTAATACAAAAATTTATTGTATCATCAAAACTATATATTATTGAAAATAAATATTGTATTTACAAAAAAATATACAGAAATTTAATTGCAATTAATTTTATTTATTTTTTTATATACAGTAAATGTTTTATAATAATAATAAACATAAAAAAAATATTTATTTATTAATTTAAATTATAATTTATATACAAAAATCAAAAATCGTAAAATAAAATCAAATCTAAAATCTGGTACTATTTGATAATTCTCGGCCAAAATTATAGAACTGATTATAACTGTTCCGATGGTTCTTGTATTTACCCCACGCACCGAACGGTACTACCAGTGCAGTGGCGTTGTCCTGACAGGCATAGTGTAGGGCCTGATCGGTGACAAACTGTGCCGCTTCTGATGGTTGACCACAACTTTGTACGGCATCCACGACTTCCTGATCGCTCATTACGTAATTAATACCATCGCTGGTCAGTATAACGAAGGCATCCTTTCCGTGTTTTATCTGTCAGTTTAATCACCAAAAAAAAATATTGATTACAAATATCTGAATCAAAAAAACGGGTTTCAAATGAAAAAAAACGATTATATACTTCAATAGATCGGGTGTCGGGCAATGCTATCACACCGTATCGCTCAACTGGTTTGGGGGTTAAATAATTTTACTATTGACTGCCTATAATCTAATTTAGGTCCAAAAATTTCAGTCGTTTCTACTTTGAGTTTGTCCAAATATTTATTTCACAGATTTAAAGATTGAAAATATATAATAACTATTAATTATAATTAATAAAATCTAAGAAAGAGAAAGAGAAAGAGAGATAGAAAAAGAGAGAGAAAAAGAGAGAGAGAGAAAGAGAGATAGAAAAAGAGAGAGAAAGAGAGAGAGAGAGAGAGAGAGAGAGAGAGAGAGAGAGAGAGAGAGAGAGAAAGAGAGATAGAAAAAGAGAGAGAAAAGAGAGAGAGAGAGAGAGAGAGAGAGAGAAAAGATATACCTGTTGAGCCCAGTCGATTAGAACAGCGATACCAATTCGGTTCAGATTTGAAAATTATAGCATACATGCTCTCTCAATCACTCACTATATTACTATATATTTTTTGATCTACTATAATTATTAATATTTGATTATTAACTATTATTATAACTGATTATTTTCAATGTATTTGAATATAAGTATTATATAGAAATTTTCATTTTTTAAGAGAAAATAAATCTGAGTTTATTGATTGATTGATTGAATACAAAAATACAATATTTAATGAAAACATTTTAAATATGTATAGTATGTATATATTGTTATATATATTATAGATTAAAATTATATTATTGTTTTATTTCAAACGATAAAATATAAAATAATTGAATAACAATAAACAAAATATTTTAATTAATAATAATTTTCTATTTCAATACTTTTAATTTAAAAGTGTGTGTGTGTATGGATAACATGTCATTATCGAAACTACTGTATAACAATTTTACAGTCAGTTTACATGCAGATAGACTGACACACAGATAGACACAAATATCAATCAATTGTCCCATCATTTCCCTGAAATAATGGCCAACTCTTCCTCCAGTTTTGCCAAAAATTTCGTCGCACGAATCGATTGGTCCATCTGTAATAATTTAATAATAATAATAATAAAAATATTCATTATGTCTTACATATTTATATATATATTTAGGGGTTTTTCTTGTGTTGATGGATAGTACATACCTGTCGGGCCCAATCGACTAAAGCCAACAATTTTTTTATACCAATCGATAGCGATATAATATTTGAGATTTTGGATATCTCGTCGCGATTAAAACAAACCGAATTACCATTGTTTTCCGTTTCCTTCAGATTGAGCAACACTTTCACCGAATTTTCTCCAATTGTCACATTGGGTACGTGTTTGACAGTGTTAAACGATGCCAACAGATTCATATTTTTCAATACATCCACACGACTAGTCGTACACACTATCAATAGTTTTCTACCCGACGGCGGCTCTTTCTTCAGCAACAAACGCAACGCTTGGAATACTGGGTTTGAATAACGGGCTCTGATATCGCTGTAATCTACTAGATCTTCGATGTTGTCGACAAGTATACACGATTCATTACATTTGTATGCCTCATAAAAAATAGTTCGTATACGCATACACTTAGCCGATTCGGTTAAGCCGGCCATATCTTCAGGCGAACATAATCTGAAATATTCAAAGTTGCATTCGAGGGTCAATTTGGCGGCCAATAATGTTTTAGCGAAATTGGTCGATCCTTGCAGCAAAATTCTGACAAAATTGGGCCTCGATTCAGCTGCTTTTGCTTGTTTTACATATACCCTAGAATCGTCCAGCAGGTGTTGAAATTTTGGTCCGCATTCATTTAAACTGTTAATTAAATCACTCATGACTTTCGATCTTTCTTCATGTCTTATCATATATTCATGTGTTTCATTTGTTTGATTAATAAAAATCTTATTTAAAAATTTGGAAAAAATATAAAATTATAAATACAATTTCTAATTCTTGCCAATCAACATATAGTAAATGGGTAGTCAATAATAATAACCTTATTGATCTTTGACATGACCTCAGTAGGAGATTGATCCAGATCGTAATTAATCATTTTTAATAGCTTTAAGATGTTCCACGTCAATATTTTAATATTTTTATAAATAAAAATATATTAGTATTTTACAATTGTATGAAGCATTATAATTTATAGATAATTGTTATAGTAATAACTAGACTTATGCATCTTCGGGAATTCTCGAAACATTATTATTTATTAAATCGTCGGGAATTTAATATTTATAGAAATATGGCAACATTTTAAATGAAATTAATGCCTATTGTTTTTCCCGATTTTCCCGATTTTTGGTGTTTTTTGAGAAAATCCTGATAAACACCGAAAAACAGTAATTAAGTGTTTTTCCCGAAATTCGCTAAACATTGATTGACATAACAATTAAATACACATTGAATAAAATAATAACTCAATATCGATGAATGGGACGATATTTATTAGTAAAAAGATACTTTAAACAATATTTTGATATAAAAAATGTAGTTTTGTGGGTATTGTAAACATATGTACTGTAATACCTTACTAAATTAATGTATTTTTACAATGGATAAAACAAATTGTAGTTTATAAACTAAAAATAAATTATTTTTAACAAATATAACCGATTTTATGACATATAGACTATTTATTCTTAGTACTATATGAAAAAAACTAAATTTAATATCCGATTTATATCCCGATTTTGCCATTTTTTACTCCCGATTTCCCGACCGATTTTGGCCATTTAAACTCCCGAAAATGCATAACTCTAGTAATAACATATAATCAGAATTAGAACTATTGGTATATATGTTTTATAAATTTGGGTGTGTATTCGGTCAGTCAAGTAATCGTCTAATTTTTAATAACTGATTAACCATCCAATCAATATAAAAATCACTAATGATAAATTTATTGATACTATTAAACTAATCATTATTGTAATGGATCATATATTGATTAGTCGTAAAATTAACTACATAATAGTAAACTATTATATTTCTATTCTATAATCTAGTTAATTTTACAAATATTTAAAAAGATCCAATAATGTTGAGGTAATTATTATATCTATAATTATGGCCTTAGTCATTTTAAAAATTAATCATATATTAAATTGAGTCGATCAACTGTCTAAACGAATGTATACGCTATATATACCCATACTTACAATACTGTAATTCTTTATATATTATTTAGAAAAGATGAAACAAATATACGTAGCTTAATAAAAAAAAGTACTAATATTTATAAAATTAATAGTTAAATAATAAATAGAGAAAATGAGTTTTTTGTTTGATCAATTAGCTTATTTAAATAATCAATAAAATTAAATATTTGTTTTTAGTCGAATAAATAGATAAATAAATATATTAAAACTATTCTAAGTAATTAAATATTTAATTAAATAAGTTAACTAAATTAAAATAATTATATTATAAAGATAAATAAAAAATTAATTTTACAAATAATAAAATAAATTTCATTTAAATACAATTAAAATTACATCATAGTTAAATATAAATATTATTAATCATTTATTAATTTATATTATTTAATTATTATTAATACTCAAAACTTTTGGCACAAACTATATAAAATGATAAAGTAATAAATTAAGTAAACAGTACTTTATCGTACAAAAAAAAATTATCATAAAAAATATTATTCATAATGCAAATATTCCACGTATGCCTGCAACTGTTCAGACATCTTTATATAACTTAATTGTTTAAATAATTTTTAGCCACAAAATTTATTTTGCACAAAAGTTAAAAAGATGGAAGAGTCGGACTTCTATGATATTCTTGTCGATCAAATCCAGTCATCAATGGAACTGTTTAAAGTATATATTTTTTTTGATAATCAGTGAATTTAAATAAAGTGAATTAATTAAACATTTTTTATGTTATTTATTAATGAAGATTCCCAATTCACAAGAGTGGTCTGACTACATGTCTACCAAACAGGATAGTTGTTTTATGATTATTTATGACTTTTTTAATAAGGTATTAAATTTTAATAAATAAAATAATAGCTATATAATGACATAATAGTTTATATAAGTTTATAAAATATTAATAAATAATTACTAATATAACGTTATTTTTTAAATTCTATAAATAAAATAAAAAGACAAACCCAGATATGATTCCTGAGTTTCCCGAAGTTGCGTTCGAAGAGTACACCAACTCAATTAAACAGACCGATCAATCAAAACGCCGGGGAAGAGGAAGACCGGAATTAGTAAACAAGAGTCAGAAATTTCAATCGTTTAAAACCATAAATGATAATATGATTAAACAAGAAAAGCTATCAATGGTAATAACAAAAAATATAAGTATTCGTGAAAAACTATTATTAAATTTAATTTTTTTAATTATTACAACAACAACTACTGAAAATTATAATAAAATCTTATAAAGTCTAAAATTAAGCAAACATTAATTGAATTGAATGCCAATTATTATTATCGGAAACAATTAGAAAGCATAAATAACTCGACTAACCATATCATCTATTGGGACAAACTATTTATAAAGTTTTATAGATCAATACAATCACAAGTAAAACAAAAATCTGCGGCTAATTATCAACGTATACTGATAACCGGTTCCCAGGGTTCGGGCAAAACAGCATTGGCTGAAAAATTGGCCGCGGATTCGCTGGCGGTTGATGTCCAAAATTTATCGTACGCCGATATGATCGGCTATACTGACCCTAAGATTTCGAAGATAATACGGAAAATGTTTTACGAGTCATATAAGTCGCCTTACGGTTGTATTATTGTCGATGATGTCGAAGAATTTCTAGTCAATCCCGTTATTAGTGATACATTTATACAGCTAATGATGTGTCCGCCGCCGCCCATAACGGGCAACAAATTGCTGATCATATGTACCACTGGTGGCAATTCTGATGATGATCTTATCAATAAGTTTAAACAAACAATTGATTCATTCATTGATCAGACTTATGTTGTACCAAATATAACCAAAGTTGACGAAATAATTAATGTTTTGATTTATTTGCTAATCACTAATAATACTAAAACTAATGGCAATGATACTGATGATGATAATAATAATGATGATGATAACAAACGTTGTTTCGAGATTGAACTGATTGATGAACTATTGGACAGTTATGAAACTATTGAACCATTTTCTATTGGTATTAAGAAACTATTGTTTAAGATTGATTGGGCCCGACAGGTATGTACAGCACAATAGACACTGTATTTGTAATATTTTGTGTTAATTTTATTAATATTTGTATCATTAGTTGGATCCGTTAACCGGTGCCAAACAGTTTATTGCTGATCTCGTAAAAGTTGGCTAACAATAGTTGTTTTAACAATTTGTTTATAATTGTCACAGATTATTCATGTGGTTATACGTTTTTATAAGGACTAAACATTTTTATAAACTAGTTTGAACTAGTTTAGATTTTCGTTATTATTAAATAAATCATTAAATCAAACCAACTGTTAAAGTATATATATATATATCAGATTTTTTTTTGTTTAATGTATTTAACAATAGTAATATAGTAAACAAAAAAATATCTATAAATAAAATTTACAATATTTATAAACAAATAAAAATAAAATCTAAAATCTGGTACTATTTGATAATTCTCGGCCAAAATTATAGAACTGATTATAACTGTTCCGATGGTTCTTGTATTTACCCCACGCACCGAACGGTACTACCAGTGCAGTGGCGTTGTCCTGACAGGCATAGTGTAGGGCCTGATCGGTGACAAACTGTGCCGCTTCTGATGGTTGGCCGCAACTCTGGACAGCGTCGACCACTTCCTGATCGCTCATTACGTAATTGATACCATCGCTGGTCAGTATAACAAAGGCATCCTTTCCGTGTTTTATCTGTCAGTTTAATCACCAAAAAAAAAATATTGATTACAAATATCTGAATCAAAAAAACGGTTTTCAAATGAAAAAAACGATTATATACTTCAATAGATCGCGTGTCTGGCAATGCTATCACACCGTACGGTTTGAGGTCAAGATCGCCGATACTACGGGTCATCGCTAGTCTACCGTTGACCAGACCGACACCTAAACTGTCGTTTTTGATGAATCCGTGACTTTTGACAATCCTTTCCTATTGAGAGATAAAAATCATAACTTATTTTTTGAATTATTTGTTTTGTTTGATTACAAACTTTTTCTGCCTTAACATTGGCGTTATGATCGTTGGTCAGCCGCATCACTTGACCATTACGGCAAAGCAGTGCCCGACTATCGCCACAGTGTCCGACCACCAGTTCGATACCGTTCCTCAACAAACAAACTGTAGCCGTAGTTCCCGAAAACGAGTTTTTAGTTTCAACTGTTTTATTAACAAACAAAACAATAGATAGATATTATTAATCGCGGATATTAGTCGGCGGTAAAAAAGTGGTCAAACAGTTTGTTATTATACCAAATGGATTATAAGTAACAAATCGGGCAAAAGAGTTGTTGACTTCGATGAATGCCTTTTCGAGAATCAGTTGTAAATCTTTTTCCTGTCTTTCCAACCAATATTTGATATGATTTATCATATTTTCGTTACAATACTGGACACAGGCTTGTCCTCCGTGACCATCGAAGACAGCGAAATATAGTAAATCGGTGTTAATCTCTGTAACACTTTTATTATCACCAAAAAGGTATAATCATATTAAACAACAATTTTTTTTGGATACAATTATATATACAGTAAATACTTATAGATATCTTCATTAGTGGTTCTTCGGCCCAGAGCTGAGGCAAACCCAACATTTTCGGTCGATATCTTTGGTATAGGTTTTCCATGTTTTATACTTGGCTTTAATAACAGATTAAAGTCGATCCGGTTATCCCTTTAAAGTCAAAAAAACAAACAAAAACTATTATCGCAACTATAGTAATCACTTTTTGGTGATTGATTGGTGTAATTGATAGCTGAGATGATGGCCATCGATGGCCAACTATCACATCACATACCAGGTTCCCAATGTATCAAAGTTGATGTGCTGTTGTCTTGTACCGACATTTTCCGGATCCGATAGCATCCAAGCCGACCGTTTAGCTACCGATGCCATCACCGATGGTTGTCTAGTCATCCGCGGTGTATATATCGATGTCATCATTATATCTGCCGATATGTGGTTTGTGGCCAACAATATGTGTTTAGCGCAACCATTGTTTAGTAAACTTTTTAAACTCATTAATAAAAACAATTTTTAAAAAAAACTTTTGATTTGTTATTATTATAATATTATTTTATATAATATTTTGAATTAACTTTTTTTTTGTATCATTCAATTCAATTAATTTCAATATTAATACAACAACAAAAAATTCTGATCATCTGATGGTCAACCAGTCGGTGATAATCAAAGATATAGAGAACAGTTGCTGAATCAGTTGATACAATCGACAAGTAGTGTCACCGTATTTGGTCATCAATTGTTGTCAAACAATGGATGTTCTGCTTCTTCTAACGAAACTCATGGAAATAGTTTGGAACCGTTCGGTGTTGTTGTCGTCGTCGTCGACAAGCAAGAAGACAATCATCAGACAGTTGTTGAAACACTTATCGATCTGAACGATAGCCAACCGACTGATGGTCCGTCCACTTCACACCAATCGCAGCCATTATTGACGGGCCATACAAATGGCATACAAATGCCATCAGTAGTAGTGGTGGACAAACATTAGTGACCATCGATGATGACGACGACGGCGACAGTCAATGCAAACGAAAAACAATACTAATTACTACCGCCGATGAATAAATGCATATCAATGACAACGACGACTGAAAACATTTTTTTTGTTTAAATAATTTATTTAAAATTTATTTGATATTAACTTTTTTTGTGGTTAATATTCTAATATTTTACAATAAGATATTATTTTTATTTATATGAAAAAAAAGATTTTTTTTTAATAATTCAATTGGTATTCAATTTTATGTATTCAAACTAAATATATTTTATTTTAGTATTTTTTTAATGCTCTCTGATAATTGATTTAATTAATAATATTTTTGTTTTAATTATATACAATTGTATATCAAAATATACTATATAAGTATATATTGATATATTTTATACAAAACTTTTTAAAAACTTTTTTGTTTCATTAATTTATTTACACATTATATTTCATTACAAAAAAAAAACTTTTTATAAGTATTTTTTATATATAAATATTTTCTAAAACACTAATTTTTTATTGTATTAAACTATTCAATTGGCTTTGAATTTGTGTATTTAGAAAAAAATATTTTATTTTAGTATTTTTTTTATTTGTTGATACTATGATAAATTGATTTAATTAATAATAATATATATTTAAAAAATATTTACAATTTTATATCAAACCACATAATAATCATATAATATTTGATTTACTATTTTAAAAAATATATAAATATATATTTAGGTATAGTTTTATTAATTTATTTTTAAAGTATATCAATATATAACAATTTAGTACAATATAAAGTGTAAATATTATATAATTATTTATAATATTTAATACAACAAAAAATATATACAATAAATAATATTTTATTTGACATTAATTGTTTGGCAAAAAATTTTACGCGCCATTAAAATAATCACAATTTAAATTTTAATAATAATAATTTTTAAACCGACCATTGATTTTCATTATTATTATTATCATTGTTTAAGACCCACTTATATGTTTAGGTCAATCAATGGATCCAATCGTATATTTCTTTATTGGTTTTATTATCGCATTCATTGTCGGCATCATTAGTAGTCGCATATATCGTCAATATCTTCTTCGGCCACAACTACCGGACAATAATATGTGTATTAAAAAACAATATTTTTTGTATATATTTTGCCGTTTTATTTATTTATATAACTATTTATATAATTAGCCGCCAATTGGCTGCCAATGTGTGGTCATCCGTGGTCTAGAAATGAAGAAGAAATAGTCGGTCTATTCTGGGAAGAGTTGTTATGCCCGACGGCTGATAAAAAAATCGGTAGTTTTGGCCGATATCCACAGTAAATGTGGTTACTATCGGAGTCCCGAAGCTATCAAAAACTATCGCAATTTAAACTAAATATCTAAATGAAAAAAATGAGACAAATATTTATTTACACAAAAAAATATTTAAAACAAATATTCTAACAAAAAATTCATTCATTTATATTATATAGTAGTAGTTTTGTAACAATTTTTTTATAAATAATAGTTTAATAATTTTATCATCAAACCTATATATTATTATTATTTTGTTGTTGTTGTTGAAAATAAATAGTGTATTTATAAAAAAAATAGAAATTTAATTTCAATTAATTTAGTTTTTATATATATAAATGTTTTTTACTAATATATATATATATTATTAATTTTAAATTATAATTTATATACAAAAATCAAAAATCGTAAAATAAAATAAAATCTAAAATCTGGTACTATTTGATAATTCTCGGCCAAAATTATAGAACTGATTATAACTGTTCCGATGGTTCTTGTATTTACCCCACGCACCGAACGGTACTACCAGTTCTGCCTTAACATTGGCGTTATGTTCGTTGGTCAGACCATTACAGTTGACCATTACGACCATCAACAGCAATTATAAATTAAATATTTTAAATAATTTTTTTCACTATAAATCATAAATAATTTACAATACCTTTAATAGAATTAAAGTGATTTTATAGACAAATAAAAAAAATACAATTATCAATAGTAGAGAGATGAAGATCTCTGTTTAAATTAAGATCTGAATTGAAAATATCTAATAATCTAATCTCTTTTTTCTTTATCTCTCTCTTTCTCTCTCTATATCTATTTATCTTTCTCTCTCACTATATATATATATATATATATATATAATTGTTGATTTACAATAATTATTGATATTTAATTGCAAAATATTGCAAACTTATTATTTTCAATGTATTTGAAAATATGAATTTTATGATATAGAAATTTTCAGTTTTTAAAAAAAGAATATAAATCTGAATTTATTAATTAATACAAATTAATAATGAATTTCAAAACATTTCTAATATGTATAGTATGTATATATATGTATTATATTATTGTTTTTCATTTCAAAACATAAAGTAATTGAATATTTAACAGAATAAATCTGTTTTTTTTATTTGTAACAACAAATAAAATATATATCAATAATAATATATTGATATTTTAAATACTTTTAATTCAATGTCTGTTTGTGTGTGTGTATATATATAACAAGTCATTATCAAGACGTAAAAAAATATGACAATTGTGAAGTCAATTGAAGACAGACACACACATAGACACAGATATCCATTAATTGTCGCAATCATTCCCCTGAAATAATGGCCATATCTTTCTCGAGTTTGGCCAAGAATTTCGTCACACGAATCGATGGGTCTATCTGTAATGAATTCAATAATATTCATTTAGTATATTTATATGTATGGGTTATGGTTGTGATGATCAGCACATACCTGTCGGGCCCAGTCGATTAAAGCCAACAATTTTTTGATACCAATAGAAAGCGGCCACTGAAATATAGTCTTCGCAATACAGGATATCTCGCTGCCATCGAAACAAACCGAATTACCATTGTTATTGGTTTCGGTCAGATTTGACAACACTTGGACCAAGTGTTCGCTTTTAGTCAGATTGGGTACAGTGATGACAGTGGTAAACGATGTCAACAGATTCATCTGATCTAATGCATCCCGACGACTTGTGGTACACACTATCAATAATTTCCTACCCGTCGGCGGCTTTTTCTTTAGCAACAAACGCAACGCTTGGAGTACTGGGTTTGAATAACCGGCTCCAATATCGCAATACTCTACTAGATCTTCTATGTCGTCGACCAGTATACACGATTCTGTCCGTTTGTATGCCTCTTCAAAAACTTTTCGTATATGCATACACTTAGCCGTTTCAGTTAAGCCGAGAATATTTTCGGGCAAAGATAGTCTGAAAAATTGAAAGTTTGATTCGCAGGCCAATTTGACGGCCAATGCTGTCTTGCCAGCATTGGCCGAACCTGCCAACAAAATGCTGACTAAATTTTGCGATGACTCAGCAGATTTGACTACATTTACAAATGCCATAGAATCGACCAGCACTTTTTCAAATGGTCGCCCCCATTCAATAAGACCATTGTTAAGTATTTTATTACTTAATATATCGGGTCTTTCCATTAACCATTCATATACTTTATATATTTCATTTGTTTCATTAATAAAAATCTAATATAAAAATTAATAAAAAAAACAGTTATAAATTCAATAAAATTCTTGTAATCATCAGATAGTAGACAGCGGGCAGTAATAACCTTATTGATTTTCGCCATCATTTCAGTCGGACATTGATCATAATTAGTCATTATTTACTAAACAAAGATATACCACGTCAATATTTTAATAAAGTAAAAGTATAAGGATTTAACAGTTGTGTGAAATACCTATTATAAGTTATAGATAACTGTTATAGTAGTATCTAGGGTTAGATTGCGATTTCCAGAAAGCAAATTCCCAAATATAATTTCTCAAATTTTCCCCGAAAATGTGAAAAATTTATTATATTCTCTCTCTTGATCTTTAGAAAGGAATAATAGATTAAAAAAAGTGTCATACATTAAAAAGTACAAAATCTAAATGTCTATGTGTTTCAATCGAGTATAGTATGTTATTAATAACTCACTCAAAATGTCATTCAATAATATTAAACATTAATATAAATTTTAAATACATTTTGTAGACATTTGCTATACAAAAATGTTTTTTAATAAATCATAATCTGTAATTTGAGTTTGGGTACGATAGGTGTTACAATGAGGAAATGACTTCACAGAAAATTTCCACTGAACAGGGAATATAAGGAACTTATGTAAAATAAGTGGAGGAAGGGAATCTTATCTAACCCTAGTAATAATATATAAACAGTATTACAACTTATGGTATATAAATGGTTTATAAATTTGATAGTGTATTCGGTCAATGAAGTAATCGTTTAGTTGTGATAATCTTATAAACCATACATTTAATATAAAAAATGACCGAGGATAAATTTATTGACAATATTAGACAACAAAATTGGTAATATATTTGAACTACACAATTGACACAATCAATTCTATAAGCTAGTTAAGTTTACAATTACTTAAAAAGACCAATTACAAAACTGTAGAGATAATTATTATAATATTATATATAAATATGCTTTTTAATTTTAATAATAAATGTATGCTTTATCTAATATATTTAATTTAAAATAATAATTCGATTAACTGAACGCTATATATACTCACACTTACAATACTGTAATTCCGAATACATTCCTTATATATTACTCTCTACATAAAATATATAAAGTAATAAATTAAGTAAACAATACTTTATCATACAAAAAAATTATCGTAAAAAATATTAGTCATAATTAAATTTCTCCACGTATGCTTGTAACTGTTATTATCAAATTCAGACATTTGTTTTTTTTGGTGTCAATTGTGTACCACAGCTAAAAAAAGATGGATGGGTCGGTCATCTACCATATATCTGGAAGACAACACCAAATACAGTCATTGGAACAGGAATTGGAATTAAATGAACACTTAAAAGTATATATTCTTTTGTTAATTATTTTAGAATTTAAAACAACTAAATTATTTAAACAATTTTTATGTTATTTATGCAATGAAGTTAATTTTCTCTGAAGAAGAGCAATCTGATGTCAATGATGATGATGAATGGATGAATTGGTATTTTTCAAATGAGGTACTAAATTTTAATAAATAAAATGTTTTATATATAATGACATAAAGGCTAATATTATAAAATCTAATAATAATTACTAATTTAACTTTATTTTTATTGTTTAAATAAAACAAAAAGACAAGTTCAGAGTTGATTCAAGATTTTAATGATTTTCCCGATTTTCAAGTTGCGGTTGAAGAGTTAAACAACTCAATTATACAGACCTATCAATCAAAACCGGGAGAACCAGGAAGACCGGAATTAGGATACAATCGCCCGAAATTTCAATCGTTTAAAAGCAATGATAATAGGATTAAACAACAAAGGCTATCAAAGGTAATAACAACAACAAAAATATATAATTGTAAAAAAATATTAATTATATAAATTTTCAATTATTACAACATCAACATATCTAACTAAATTTACAAAAACAACAACTACTGAAAATTATAATAAAATTATAAAAGTCTAATATTAATCAATTATTAATTAAATTAAATGCCAAACAAAACTCGTCTAACCATATCATCTATTGGGACAAACTATTTCTAAAGTCTTATAGATTAATACAATCTCAACTAAATCAAAAATCTGCGGCTAATTATCAACGTATACTGATAACCGGTTCCCAGGGTTCGGGCAAAACAGCATTGGCTGAAAAATTGGCCGCGGATTCGCTGGCGGTTGATGTCCAAAATTTATCGTACGCCGATATGATCGGCTATACTGACCCTAAGATTTCGAAGATAATACGGAAAATGTTTTACGAGTCATATAAGTCGCCGTACGGTTGTATTATTATCGATGATGTCGAAGAATTTCTAGTTAATCCCGTTATTAGTGATACATTTATACAGCTAATGATGGGTCCGCCGCCGGCCATAACGGGCAACAAATTGCTGATCATATGTACCACTGGTGGCAATTCTGATGATGATCTTATCAATAAGTTTAAACAAACAATTGATTCATTCATTGACCAGACATATGTTGTACCAAATATAACCAAAGTTGACGAAATAATTAATGTTTTGATTTATTTGCTAATCACTAATAATACTAAAACTAATGGCAATGATACTGATGATGATAATAATAATGATAATAACAAACGTTGTTTCGAGATTGAACTGATTGATGAACTATTGGACAATTATGAAACTATTGAACCATTTTCTATTGGTATTAAGAAACTATTGTTTAAGATTGATTGGGCCCGACAGGTATGTACAGCACAATAGACAATGTATTTGTAATATTTTTTGTTAATTTTATTATTATTTGTATCATTAGTTGGATCCGTTAACCGGTGCCAAACAGTTTATTGCTGATCTCGGAAAAGTTGGCTAAAAGTATTTCGGTTTTAAAAATTTGCGTTATAATTGCCACAAATATATATATATATATATATAATGGCTATACATTATTTTATAAGGACTATACATTTTTATAAACTAGTTTAATACCAATTAAGTTTGTAAATAATTTGTTAAACTAGTTTTTATTATAAAATTTATTAAATATTATTATATAAAAACAATTTGATTTTTATTACATATACATAATCTCTCAGATTTTTGTTATTTATAATTCTAGAGGCACACACTTGTTGTTACTATTATTTAAAAAAGTATCAATAAATAAAATTTACAATTAATATTTATAAACAATTTAACAAAAAAAATCAAATCTAAAATCTGGTACTATTTGATAATTCTCGGCCAAAATTATAGAACTGATTATAACTGTTCCGATGGTTCTTGTATTTACCCCACGCACCGAACGGTACTACCAGTGCAGTGGCGTTGTCCTGACAGGCATAGTGTAGGGCCTGATCGGTGACAAACTGTGCCGCTTCTGATGGTTGACCGCAACTTTGGACAGCGTCGACCACTTCCTGATCGCTCATCACGTAATTGATACCATCGGTGGTCAGTATAACGAAGGCGTCCTTTCCGTGTTTTATCTGTCAGTTTAATCACCGAAAAAAAATATTGATTACAAATATCTGAATCAAAAAAAACGGTTTTCAAATGAAAAAAAACGATTATATACTTCAATAGATCGGGTGTCGGGCAATGCAATCACACCGTACGGTTTGAGGTCAAGATCGCCGATACTACGGGTCATCGCTAGTCTACCGTTGACCAGACCGACACCTAAACTGTCATTTTTGATGAATCCGTGACTTTTGACAATCCTTTCCTATAGAGAGATAAAAATCATAACTTATTTTTTGAATTATTTGTTTGATTAGTTGATTACAAACTTTTTCTGCCTTAACATTGGCGTTATGATCGTTGGTCAGCCGCATCACTTGACCATTACGGCAAAGCAGTGCCCGACTATCACCACAGTGTCCGACCACCAGTTCGATACCGTTCCTCAACAAACAAACTGTAGCCGTAGTTCCCGAAAACGAGTTTTTAGTTTCAACTGTTTTATTAACAAACAAAACCATAGATAGATATCATTAGTCGGGATATTAGTCGGCGCGGGGAAAAAAGTGGTCAAACAGTTTGTTATTATTACCAAATGGATTATAAGTAACAAATCGGGCAAAAGAGTTGTTGACTTCGATGAATGCCTTTTCGAGAATCAGTTGTAAATCTTTTTCCTGTCTTTCCAACCAATATTTGATATGATTTATCATATTTTCATTGCAATACTGGACACAGGCTTGTCCTCCGTGACCATCGAAGACAGCAAAATATAGTAAATCGGTGTTAATCTCTGTAACACTTTTATTATCACCAGAAAAAACAAACAAACAAAAACATTAATAAACAACAATTTTGGATACAATTATACAGTATATACAGTAAATACTTATAGATATCTTCATTAGTGGTTCTTCGGCCCAGAGCTGAGGCAAACCCAACATTTTCGGTCGATATCTTTGGTATAGGTTTTCCATGTTTTATACTTGGCTTTAATAGTAGATTAAAGTCGATCCGGTTATCCCTTTAAAAAGTTAAACAAACAAACAAACTATTATCGCAACTATAGTAATCACTTTTTTTGGGGTGTAATTGATAGATGAGATATGATGGCCATCGATGGCCAACTATCTCACATCCATCACATCCATCACATACCAGGTTCCCAATGTGTCAAAGTTGATGTGCTGTTGTCTTGTACCGACATTTTCCGGATCCGATAGCATCCAAGCCCATCGTTTAGCTACCGATGCCATCACCGATGGTCTAGACATCCGCGGTGTATATATCGGTGTCATCATCTCTGCCGCTGCCGATAGGTTTGTGGACAACAATATGTGTTTAGCGCAACCATTGTTTAGCAAACTTTTTAAACTCATTAATAAAAACAATTTAAAAAAACTTTTGATTTGTTATTATTTTATATATTATTTTGAATTAAATTTTTTTGTATCATTCAATTCAATACAATTGTTAACAAAAAACTTTTTATAATAATAATAATAATAATAATTATTATTATTATTAAAAAACTACTGATAATTACAATTAACTTTTTTTATATAATAATAATAATAATTATAATAAAAAATAAGTAAATATTCAATAAATATATGCTAATAATTATTTAATTAATTAAATTAATTAATTAATCCATAATTGTTTGCCTAATCATCGTTTATAAGCGTTTTAATAATAATAATAATAATGTGATAACAAAATCAATTAGTGATGTAAACAATATTTTGTATGTTTTAATAATAATACTGTAAACATGTTTTGCTAATACATTAAATTATAAGCCAATAGTAAAAACATTACGTCAATAACATAAAGTTTTTTAAAAACTTTTTTTTGTTAGTAATTTAATTTGTGTTTTATTACAAAAATACTTATTTATTAAAATAGTATTTTGTTTAAAAAGTGTATTATTTTTACTAATTTTTATTAGTATTAGTTAAATAATAATATACTTAAAAATATAATTTTGATTAACTAATAAAACTTTTATATAGTTAATATTATTGTAATAAATTATAGTTAAAAATTTTTCTGTAATTTTAATTTATTAGAAATTCAATTAACAAAAATAAGTTATTGATATAATTTTATATAAAACTTTTTTATTTGTTGTCAATTAAAACAAATTAAGCAAATAATGTCCAAAAAAAACATCATTGAATTAAATATATAAGATTTAAATTGAAATAATTTTACAATAATTATAATTAACATAAAATAAAACTTAAAAATTTATGTTTAAAATTATAAATCAATTGTAACGTCATATATGAATGACTCATACAGTCAATGAAAAACAACCCAAAACAACAAACAAGTGATGCAAACAAACAATTGAAACATAATTTCAAATAAAAAAAAATTAATTTTAATTATCAATCAGTGTTTAGCTAACCATCGATGACGTCAACCATGTCTTCCTCAGCAGCGGCTGATGTCTTCCCGATGAAGAAGAAGACGATGACGACGAAGACTACCACTACTATTACCGTTGCCGTCGAGTCGGGCGAAGAAGATTCAGTCGTCGATGAGGTTAAGGACATAACTGAAGAACAGGAAGAAGTGGTGGACGACAGCGATGACGGCGAAGACGACGGCCGTTACGACGACTCCATTGTCGACTTCACAGCCGCTGATTCAAAGGCCGTTACAGTCATTGAAGATTTGTTTGTTAATAATAATAATAATACAAATGATGTCAACAATAAAGAAGAGATAATACAGCAGAAGATGATATCAACCAATAGGTCGTCGAAGTCGATGACGACGACGACGACAAACAACTCTCTTTCGGCGGATGAGCTATATATATGTCATTTGGTTCTTGTCGACCAACCCTTCACTGATTCCGATGAGTTTACCGATTGTGGCAATCAGTTTGTCTTTAAGACACTCAACAAATATATTACCGATAGTCAGATAACGACGACGTCGTCGTCGTCGTCACCAAACAAGACATCGACGCCGAAGAAGTCGACGACGACTTCAACGCCAACAACCAATGAGTTGTCGATTGATAGACCATCGGATGAGTTGTTGCCCGGTTTTGGATCAGCTTTGGACGATCGTCGGCCGATATTTAGTTGGCACGAAACCCGCAAAAAGATTACCGAATACAAGAACAGTTCAAACTTTGGTTCAGAATTTTTCAAAAGAAATAAGAAATTCAATAATAATAATAATAACAATAAAAGAGATATTAGTAAACGACAGCCATTTTCTGGTGACTTAATGATGAAGACGGAGAACAAACCATTTCAACACAAATCAAATCAACAGTCATATGGAGGCCAAAGATTTCAGATGAAAAATCAATCACATCATCAACAACAGCAACAACAACAGCGGCGACCGGGAAGAGGTGGCTATCATCGAAATTTTAGACATCAAGACATGAACAGTGGTCCACAATCTTCTTCAACTTCATCAGCATCTGATCGCAGATTGTTTGATCTCAACGATAACACTGATATTAGATATCGTAATCATAATAGTGGTGATAATAGTGGCCAAACAGCTGGTGGTAGCGGCGGTGGTGGCAGTGACCGCAACCCGATGACCGACGGTGTGATGACGTCGACGAGTGGTCAGTTTGCTTTTGGACGCCGGCATTCATATACAGGACAACCGCATCAAAATTATTTTTAAATTAAAAACAATTTAAATCATCAAAAAAAAATTGTTTGTTATATATTGTGATTAACTAATTGATTGGATTTTTTAGGTTTCAATAATGCTATAAATTGTTATTATTTTTTTTTAAAAAAAATTATAGCTAATAGACCACTCATTTAAGTTTCTAATCATTTAATTATTTATTTGATATAATTGTATTTTTTAAAATACCTATATATTTGATTTGTGTGATTATTATTAGTAGTTTTTTTTAATTATAAATTTTGTATGTAATCTATTATATAAAAAATGGTTAATACTGTTAATAATTAGTGTTTATAAATAATAGTTAATAATTGATAAATTGATTTTATATATATATATATAATAGTATATAAATACTCTAAATTTCTAATAAATAAAATAAATAAATTCCTATATTTTATAATCACATTTGTATACAACCAAACAAACAATTAGTTTATAATTTAGTGATTATTAACGTAAAATTATGTTTACTGTAATAATAATAATAATAATAATAAATATACCGGTAATACAAATAATACGGTAATTGTGTTTCTAATTGTGAAACTAAACAACAACAAAATAAAGAAAAAACATTATTATAAATTAATTAATATTTTATATACTAATAATAATTTTGTTTAAAAAAAGTATTTAATTTATTTTAATTAATACTAAAATTTGTGTTACGATTTTTTTTAAAAAAAAATAATTATAATAATAAGCCTTTTAATGAAGTTTTAATTTTTTTAAAAATAGATTTGATTCACAATTTTTATAGCCTTAAGCAGCTATTAAAATAAGTCATCTCTACTTAATATTTATTAGTAATTTTTTTTATAATTATTTAGAAACAAAATTAAAAAAATAATAAAATCATTTATTATCTGATTAATAGTTTCWTGAAAAACAAAAAAAACAACAACAAAATCAATGTATTATTTATCGATTTTCTAAACAAATTTGTTTGTTTAGCTTTGAGTACTAATATATATATATATATATTATTATATAAGAAACTAAACGAAACAAATATTTAGTTTATTTCTATAATTTTATATTTGTTTTTATTTATAAATTCTCTCTCTCTCTCTCTCTCTCTCTCTCTCTCTCTCTCTCTCTCTCATTGATTGCGGTTTTGTATTTGATATTCATCTGATTTCATCAAAATATTTATTTATTTAATAAATTGCTTATCAATTATTGCTAAATGAATACATATTTTTAAAAAAAAAATAATATATACTAATTTTACAAAAATAAAAAATTCATTACACTATTAAAAATTTGGGAAATTTGAACTTTTTAAATAATACTGATAATAATAATTAAAAATAAATTGAACTCATTTAGTTTGTTTGAATAAAATACTTGTATAGATATATACAGTATATAATTACTACCTATATATATATACTGTATATTTATTTTTGGATAAATTTTTAACCATTTTTTTATTAGGCAATTATATATATATAAAATAATACCATAGTTTTGTTTTAAATGGCAATATAATATCTGGGTATATATAWCAGTACAGTATATATATATATATATATATATATATATATATATTAAATATTAGATTTATTCATAACAAATATAAATAAATAAATATATTTTTTTAAAAATTAGAGTAATTTAAATATTTAAATTATTAATCAGAATAATCGTAAATTTATTTATATATAAATTTTTTTRTATATTATTAGTTAGTATACATGTATAATATATATATATATATATATACAGTATATAACATTTATCTTTATTGCTGTAATATTTATTTATTTATTTATTAATCCAGATTTTTGCCGGCCTTTCAAAAAAATAAATTATAGTCACTAATGAGTTGACTAAATATATATATATATATATATATAAGTTATTTATTATAATATATTATTTTGTTTAAAAACAATATTATATAATACCTGTTTGCCATCCGATTATATATTTTATAATATTTTTATAATTAATTTTATATTCATTTATTCAGTAATATATTTTCATATATATATATATATATATATATATATATATATAGTGTATATAATAATATAGTGTATATTATAATATCATTTTATAAATATATAATATTTATTTATTTATATAAATTATATTTATATATGTTTTTTAATAAATAAAACACACACAAAATTTGTTAGTTTTTTAACTTTTATTATTATTATTATTTTTCAGTAAACACCAAAATAAAATAACTACAATAGAAATATATATAATATAATATATATAAATATAAATATAGTTTTCACATAAATAAAAAAACTTATTTCACTAAAAAAAATTTTAACCCAAAAATATGAAAAAACCTGAAAATAGTTGTCAAAAAATAAATAAATAAATAACTAAACAAAGACAATAGATTTTATAATTAATACAAATAAATATAATAWATATATAAAATATACAATAAATTTACAGTAAAAATATTGTAATGATATTGTTTTCATTTACAAAAATAAAATAAAAAGTTTCATTTATTATTAAATATTAATACATTATTATTATTATAGCTATTGTTAACTATGTATACAATTTATTTATTATTTTTTATTTGTTGTAAAAATCAACTCAATTGTTTACCTGTTGTTTTTTRATAATAATAATAAATAACTGTTTTTTTTTGTTTGTTTGTTATTACATTATTAATACCTGTAGTTTTTCCCCCCTTTTTTTAAATACCAGTATTAAAAAAAACGGTATATATTTTTGTACWACAAATTACAATATCAATAGTTTGTGTGCTATTACTGTATTTATTATTATTATTATTAAATRTATACAAATTGTTTACAGGTTTTTCTCATTAATGATTATTGAATATCATTTTTTTTTTGTATTATTATTATAAAAAGTTTGAATTTAGTTTTTGCAATACAYGAGAGAGAGAGAGAGAGAGAGAGAGAGAGAGAGAGAGAGAGAGAGAGAGAGAGAGAGAGAGAGAGAGAGCACTGGYGGTTGTTGTTGAACACCTGTATGTTTATTGTGTGTGTGTGTGTGTGCTGTATATTATTGTATAACCTGTAGGGTTAGTGGGTTTGGCTTTTTGTGTTGCGTTTCGTGATGTATATCCACGAGAGAGAGAGAGAGAGAGAGAGAGAGAGAGAGAGAGAGAGATTTGTTTAGTACAGAGTGTAGTAGTTGTGTGTATGGACTCAAAAAAAACTTATTTCATTAGTGAGAGATACAGACTCTCACACATACACACACAAAGTGTTTGGGGAAAGGCATATGAAAAGCCTGTATATACCTGTAGTTTGGTGTTTGTGTGTCTAACAGTGTATATTCAAGTTATGATATTTTTCAGTTTGCATTTACTGACTGAACATAACATTACATTTTTTGTTGAAGACATATACCTAATGTGTGTTGGTGTTATTGTGTGTTCAGTTCAGTATATATCTGTATTTTACCTGTCAGTGCTCTCTATCCATACACCAAACATACCTGTGCTCTCACTTATTGTATAATATAGACAACCAGAGCTCTCATGCTTTAATCATAATAAATAAATAAAACATTTATTTTGATTATATTGATTGTTATACTTTTATATATATATATATAAATRTKTTGAATGAAATTGAAAACTGAAAGTTTTTCAATGAAAAAAAGTGTTATGTAATCATAATAATTGTTTGTCTAAATAATAATAGTAATAATAATACCAATACTTGTAAAAAACTAACTAAATATTTATATATATATAAAAAAAACTAAACTAAATATCATATATTAAATATGAGTCCATCGGTAAAGTCATCGTCGGATACTAAATGCAAAACTATACGATTGACAAAAAATTCAATTGTCATATCGTTTAGCAAATGTGTTAACTATTATCATAATTATGATGATGAGGATAGTCATCCTAATCATCRKSGGTTAAAACCAATAGAAAATGGTAGGACCTATGACCACCAAAATCATCAGCATCACTGGCCAGCCAACTGTGCTAACAGTGCTCAACAACAACAACATAATAATCATCATCACTATCAACACCAACAACTATACCCACACTCGGCCATCGGCTACGAGTCCCAGGGCTATCATTCATTGGACAACACAACGACATCAACGGGTCGGCGGCGGCAACGGGACTGCCGGCCATACAGTGTACGTGCGCTTCGTTACCATCGTCGTCGACGCCGCCACCGTTACCATTGCCGTCCTCATCATCATCAGTGGACAGTTATCATGTGGACGGCCGGTCCCTATTCAAAGAGTTTATCAAAGAAAACTCGATGAGCGTCTGGAATCCCTATCTGATCAGTTGTCTATCACAGCTAGAGTTTCAGGGATTTCTTCAGCCGTCGACACTGTTGATCGGCGGAACCGACTTTTGTCTGGAAGTAATTCGGTCGCAATGGTCTCGCCGTGTATTGCGATCGCCGAAAGGTTTTCAAATCGACTTTATTGGTAAGTGTTTGGATCTCTTGGATCCACTTCTTTGACTTTATATATATATATATATATATATTATATATATATATTTTATTACTGATAAAAATTACTTTCAAATGTAATGCCCCATAAAATGTCTGAAATTTTTGTTCCCAATGGYGTGTCTCTTATTTTTATATATATATATTTTATTTTTGTTATTCAACTTATATTTTAAGGGCCAATGAATGGCGTGAAAGTATATCATTAATAGGGTTCCGACTGTGTCTGTATGTATGTATGTGTGTGTATGTATGTGTATGTATGTATGTATGTATGTATGTATGTATGTATGTATGTATGTATGTATGTATGTATGTGTGTGTGTGTGTGTGTGTGTGTGTGTGTGTGTGTGTATGTATGTATGTGTGTGTGTGTGTGTGTGTGTGTGTGTGTGTGTGTGTGTGTGTATGTATGTATGTATGTATGTATGTATGTATGTGTGTGTGTGTGTGTATATATATATATATATGTATGTATGTGTTGGGTAATGAACATCTCATTGGGGTTTTTTATTTTRTTTTGTTWGTTAAGACCCAAACCCTGTTTTATTTTTAGGTAGGAGCTCATCATCATAATGTATTGCATGAGTTGGGAACTCTAAGAGAGAGAGAGAGAGAGAGAGAGGTGACTACTCCACCAAAAAAAATCAAAAACTAAAAATTAGTGTATAATTATATATAYAACTACAGTATAACCAAACTATACGATACAATACAGTACTTCAACAGCAAAATAGTTAGTGTCTGTATATATACTATATCCATAAACCCTCATACCTTTTCCTAAGTTATAGCACAGGTATGAATAATTCAAGGACCCTATTGTGTCCCTCTTTTATTTTGTGTTTCATTTTTTTTATAACTTTTCCCCATTTTTGTTGTGTTGTTGTGTGTTTGCATCATAACCAACAAAAAAACAATATATATAWATATAAATATAAATTATTTCTTAATTTATTTAAAATGAAATAATGAGTTTATGTTTTCCCTTTAATATTAATGTAATATTTTTTTTTGTAATTATATATATTTTTTAAGTCAATGTTTTTTAATGATTAAAAAACATGTGTGTGTGTGTGTATGTGTGTGTGTGTRTGTGTGTGTGTGTGTGTGTGTGTGTGTGTGTGTGTGTGTGTGTGTGTGTATGTGTGTGTGTATGTGTGTGTGTGTGTGTGTGTGTGTGTGTGTGTGTGTGTGTGTGTGTGTGTGTGTGTGTGTGTGTGTGTTGTGTGTGTGTGTGGTGTCTATTTGTGTGTTATATGTTTAAACTTTTTTGTTGTTAGTTTATATAAAAAGTTTTGAACTCATCATCGCYTCTCTCTCTCTCTCTCTCTCTCTCTCTCTCTCTCTCTCTCTCTCTCTCTCTCTCTCTCTCTTAAAAAAGTAAAGTCGCCCTMAATTTCCCATAACTAACAAACAAACAAATTTACAATTATTTGTATCAGGTATASAGTATATCTATGTATGTATGTATGTAATACATATTATGTATGCTATTAATATACAGTACTAATAAATATTTATTTTTTTACCATAAAAAAAACTTAATACATAATATGCTGGGGTATGAGAAATCAAAAAAATTAAATAAATAAATAAATAAAAATAAATAATATATCTCTCACTCATTGTAAAAACAAATGGCACTTGAAGTGCATCAACAATAATAWAAAAAAATTTAGTTATCATTAATAATAATAATTATAATAATAATGATAAACCTATTATTGTTATCGATTGAGTGGATCTTAACGAGTGATCACTAAAAAAATAAAAAATAAAATAATCTCATATATAATAATACTTCAAAATTTTATATTTCGCATATTTGTTAACCAAAAAACGTCTTATCAATTATGATATATACATATAAAATATTTCAATAGACATTGTACTGTAGTGTTGATACAAATCATGGTTTTGTTGTTATATTTAACCAAAAAAAAAAAAAAATGAAAAAAAAAATTTCTCTCACTTAACAAAACATAACATAACAGACAATCATAACAAATATGAACCGAAAATTTTAAATTCAAATTATTATTTAAACAAAAAACTTTTTTTTGATTTTATTTTCAAAACCTATTTAATAATAAACTTTTTAGAGTATAAGCAAATAATGATAATAATAGTTAAAAATCTAAAGTGAATCTCTCTCTCTCTCTCTCTCTCTCTCTCTCTCTCTCTCTCTCTCTCTAAATATATATATGATATAACTTAAACTTTATGAGAGTTTACAATGACCTCCAATTGAATAGGTTTTCAGCAAAAAATAATAATAATAATAAATAAAAAATACTTTACGTGTATTACAACAATATATATATATATATAATAAAATCAAAAAAAAAAATTACAACCAAAATGAATAGCCGTTTTTTCTGGTATTCATAATTATATATATGTTTTTCTAGTATATATCAGATATACTATATATATATATATATATACTGTATATATCTAATTGTATTTTTCTGTTTAAATAGACGACAATAATAACAACAAGCATTTTGGATGCTATAAAACAATGAATTAGTATTTTTTATTATATTATATTTTATTATTACTATATTTCATATATATATATATATAAGTTTATAAAATTATATTTAATTTTATTTCCCAGTGTGTGTGTGTATGTGTGTGTTATAGTGTTTCCTTATTTGGTATATCAATATATATATATATAAAGTGTTGTAAAATATTTTTTATTTGATATTTCAAAATTATAAAAAAAATTAAATGCCATTTAAACGTGTGTTTTTTAAAAAATCATTTTATTTTAAAAAGCAATTAATTTTTTAACTATGTATACATTGTTTTAGTARTCATTTTTTGTTTTTATATATTGTATATATACATTATATATATACTSTAGTAGTATAAGTGGCAATTAAACAATTGTATTTTATTATTATTATTATTATTTTTGAAAAATTAAATTTTTCATTTAATTATTTCATTGCACACAATTATGACATTACTGGGCATATATGACATTAAAAAACTAAAAACTAATAATAAATTAAATGCAATTTTAATTTTTTAATAATTTTAAACAACATTCAAAAAACTAAACATTAAGAAAAATAAAAAAACAATTATTAGTTTTGCAAAACAAAAAAGTAAAAGTAATTGATTTATATTTAAATAATAATTAAATAAATAATAATTTAATTTAATTTTTCCTAATATGATAATACTTTGATAGCAATAGAGAGACACACAAACAAAACAAAAACATTTAAACAAACAAATGTTTATTTAAATGTTTTTATTATAAATGATTAACAATAAAAAAAATAATAAATTGAATAATAATAAATTGAATAACCATTTTCCTACTAATCGTTTTTTTCTAGTATTAACAATATTTATATAATAATAACACAATAATAATCATTATTTTTATTTAAAAAAAAGAAAAATAAATAATATTAAATACATGTAAAATGTAATAATTATTTGCAAAAAATAATACAATTTATGTGAAACTTTCCTTGTTCATTTAAATACTTAATTTATTGTAWCCAAAAAATATAATAAATTGGTTTAAATTACATACAGCTGTTGTATGTATTACAYACACACACACATACATACATACATACACACATACATACATACATACATACATACATACATACATACATACATACATACATACATACATACATACATACATACATACATACATACATACATACATACATACATACATACATACATACATACATACATACATACATACATACATACACATACATACATACATACATACATACATACATACATACATACATACATACATACATACATACATACATACATACATACATACATACATACATACATACATACATACATACATACATACATACATACATACATACATACATACATACATACATACATACATACATACATACATACATACATACATACATACATACATACATACATACATACATACATACATACATACATACATACATACATACATACATACACACACACATACATACACACACATACATACACACACATACATACATACATACATACATACATACATACACACACACACACACACACACACACACACACACACACACATACATACATACAGACACACACATATACATACATACASACACACACACACACCATATAATTAAACATAACTTTTGTAATATTCAATTACCAATTGTTATTATAAGTACAGTATATAATACATCAATTATATTATATATCACACACACACACATAAAAGTATTACATTTACAATATATTACAGTAAATATAATATACAGTATTATTATTATTATATATATAAATATATTTAATTATTGAAAATTGCTTTTAATTGATTGCTTAACCAGAAAAAAGACACACATTTATTCATAATATAACAACATATTTATTATATAATATAAAAATAAATTATAATAATTTCTATAAAAAAAATATATTATGAATAACTTTCTTTATTATTATAAATCAATTATAATATAAATTATTTTTTTACTTTCAGTACTAATCCATTATTAAATAATGTTTAGTATTGTATTGATTTATTGAAATTTAAAAAAAATAAATAAAAAAATTAAAATTATAGTGTATTACACAATATTTTTCATTATTATTGAATATTAAATAACATATTATTATAACATTACAATATATAGTATAATATCGTAAATATGTATTAATAAAAAATATTGCAACAATAAAATTAAATTAATGGGAGTTTTTTTTATAAATATTATTAACATTTATTATTTGAAAATATTTACTATTGTTTTGACAATTTTTTTTATGACTACCTGATGATATACACTGTATATTAAGTTAGTTTTACTAACTATATACACAGTGTGGTACCAAAAAAATAATATAACCTAGTGCAAATAGCCAAAAAAAATAAATAACAAAAATAACTTAACAATATAACAATTTAGTTATGAAAACAAA